TGTTCAGTGGAGTCACTTGCTAAGCATGCATCTCTAAATTGTTGCAGTCTTTCAAAGTGCAGAAGACGACCTGTTTCAATGTCCCTGAGAAAGACTTCCAGCTTGCATTCAAATGCAAACACTGCTTGTTCAAGGGATGAGATTGTATTTCCAACACCTTACAATTTCACATTGAGCTGGTTCAGATGGCCAGTTATGTCCACGAGATAGTGAAACTGCAGGAGCCAGTCAGTGTTGTCTAGTTCAGGATGCTTGACGCCTTTCATTTCAAGAAAAGTCCGGATTTCACTCGGGCAAGCTGCAAAACGGCTGAGCACCTTCCCCCTTGCCAACCAACGCACGTTGCTGTGTAAAAGCAGACCGGGATAATGATTCCCGACTTCTTCTAACAGAGCTTTAAACTGGCGATCATTTAAAGCTCGGGCAACAATAAAGTTGACCACTCGAATGACCAGCGACATCACCTCACCAAGCTCCTGGCCACACGTCTGAGCGCAAAGCGCCTCCTGGTGCAATGAAAACTTAGGATGGCTCTCTTTTCATGTTCACGGAGAAGCGCTACAAATCCTTTGTTCTTCCCCAACATACAGGGTGCACCATCAGTACAGACAGAAATAAGTTAATCCATCGGTAGTTTTTTTTCTTTAGCAAACTCCATGAAAGACGTGAATAAATCCTCTCCTCTTGTTGTCTTTTTCATTGGCAAAACAGACAAGCTTTCCTCATGCAGTGTGTCACCTGCAGCATACCTGGCAATTATACTGAACTGAGATAGATGGCTAACGTCTGTTGACTCATCTAACGCGAGAGAAAAGTATGTCCCGGCGTTTATGTCCTTAATTTGTGTTTCCTCGACTTGATTTGCCATCATGATGCTACGATCGTGAACAGTTCTTGCTGACAGAGGCATGTCTTTTATTCGTTTGATTATCTTGTCTTTATTTGGGAAGTCATCAAACAGTTCATTGGCCACATCAAGCATGAATGTTTTGGCATACTCGCCATCTGTGAATGGCTTTCCATTCCTTACTATTGCCAAAGCACCCGCAAAGCTAGCGGAATTCCCGTCACCTTGCTTGGTCCACACACGTAGTTGCTGCTGACTCGTCTGCACTCTCCGCTGTAGCTCTTCGCATGCCTTTTTCCTGCTGTCCCCCGCTGGATATTTCGATGCAAATGAAGCATGGTGCGTATCGAAGTGCCGCTTTATATTTGACCGTTTCATCGATGCCATTTTATCATTGCATATTAGACATACCGCAGATCCTGCTCTCTCCACAAATGCAAATTCCTCTGTCCACGCAGCCTGGAATGCACGGTAATCATCGTCTTTTTTTATTTTGGCCATCTTTTCCGTTACAAGGGTTGAAGCGGATAAACTAGTTGGCTATCTGATCAAATGGATTTCTTCACCTTCACAATGACCCGTGACATGCTCGCGAGCCATTGGTTCCCGACCCGACCCATGGGTCACGGGTTACGGGACCCGTGACCCGTGTAATTTATCTTCAAAACTAATTTCTGTTTATTTTAAAATGACACAGTATTATTAAGCAATATCACAAGTATTTAAAAATCAGTTCCAAACTGATTTATTTTTTATTTTATTATTATTTTTTTCAACTCAAAATTGTCTGGGAGCCATATGCCGTCACCGGAAGAGCCATATATGGCTCGCGAGCCATAGGTTCCCGACCGCTGTGCTAAATTGTAGATTTCTCACAGTGTGGTGCTGCTTTATCTACCACGCAAGGATGGTGAGGGTGTTGGTGGTGGTTGTGATGATGTTGATGGTTGTGATGGCTGTGATGGTGAGGGTGTTGGTGGTGGTTGTGATGATGTTGATGGTTGTGATGGCTGTGATGGTGAGGGTGTTGGTGGTGGTTGTGATGATGTTGATGGTTGTGATGGCTGTGATGGTGAGGGTATTGGTGGTGGTTGTGATGATGTTGATGGTTGTGATGGCTGTGATAGTGAGGGTGCTGGTGGTGGTTGTGATGATGTTGATGGTTGTGATGGCTGTGATGGTGAGGGTGTTTGTGGTAGTTGTGATGATGATGGTTGTGATGGCTGTGATGGTGAGGGTGTTGGTGTTGATGGTGGTTGTGATGATGATATATTCTTAGGTTTTTTTTCGGTAAAGTCACGTAGGTAAAAAATAAAAATTAATAAAAGTAAAATAAAAATTTAATAAAAATCACGACGTTTCGGAGGCAACACAAGCTTCCGTCTTCAGGTGGAACTGTCACAGCACGATAGCTGTATCAAGGGAGAGAAATTCCAGGAAATAGTCCTTGTATATATACTGATTGAGGGTGGGAGGAGCCAAGGTAGGCCCTGAATATTATTTTTGTGAGGTTCGGTGCGGCTAAAGCACGCTGCTAGGAATGAGCCTTTGTTGTGTAAACTAGGTGCGGATGATGTAAATGTGCGTGTGAAAGGGACTGAGCCTTTTGTTATGTAGAGATGATGCGGCTGAAATCGCTGCCAGGAAATGAGTCTTTGTTGTGTAGAATGGTTGACTGAGCCTATTATTATGTAGAGGTGGTGCGGCTGAAATCGCTGCCAGGAAATGAGTCTTTGTGTAGAATGGTTGACTGAGCCTATTGTTATGTAGAGGTGGTTTCGGTAAAGTCACATACGTCACATACGTGACTTTACCGAAAAAAACCTAAATAAACCTAAATATGAATCCTTGCAGTCACGAAAGCTTCAAATCTAGAATGTGATGATGATGGCTGTGATGGTGAGGGCGTTGGTGGTGGTTGTGATGGTGGTGGTTGTGATGGTGGTGGTTGTGATGGTGTTGGTGGTGGTTGTCAGGGTGTTGGTTGTGGTGATGATGATGGCTGTGATGGTGAGGGCGTTGGTGGTGGTTGTGATGGTGGAGGTTGTGATGGCTGTGATGGTGTTGGTGGTGGTTGTCAGGGTGTTGGTGGTGGTTATGATGATGGCTGTGGTGGTGAGGGCGTTGGTGGTGGTTGTGATGATGATGATGGTTGTGATGATGATGGTGGTGGTGGTGATTATGTAATGCACACTGGGCACCCATCCAAGCATTACCCAGGGGCCCCGCACCCTCCTGCCATACCCGCGATATTACGAATCTGCGCTTAAAAAACGTTTTGTTGCATTCCATCAAATTGAACAACCCAACAAAACAAGCCACAAACCAGGTTGCCGAGTTTGCCGCAATAAAGCTCATCACGACACGCCCCCCCACCTGCCTTGCGTGTGCCACGTGCCCCCCCCCCCACCTGCCTTGCGTGTGCCACGTGCCACCCCCCACCTGCCTTGCGTGTGTCACGTGTGCCGCGTGTGTCACGTGTTCGCTCAACTTATTTCGCACCGCCGTCACGTGACCCACCGGGTTTCGAACCGAGCGGCGGGACCCAGGCCACGTCCCCGGCTCGCACGAGTTTCAACAACGACGCGGAGTTGAGTTGCTTGCGGAGCTGCAGTTGGTAAGGAACGGCAACACCGACATCGCCTACTCGGTTCGCGACTCGTGAAGCCGGCGCGTGATTTTCAAAACGGTTACCGGTTACCGTTTGGCAACCCTCGTCAATGCAAAAAATGATAAAGTTCCCCCCCCCCGCATCGTCCCCGCAGCGTATAGACTTCGCAGACTGTTGGGGCAAGTGCGCTCTCGGCGAGCAGCCTGTGAGGGTGAGCACTGCACGGTCGAGCGCGATGCGAGCTCGAAACCACCCCCGACCGCCCTTGTCGTCCCGCGTGTCAGTGGCCGCGTCGCGTTAACGTCAACTGTGGGGGGCGCGGGGGGGGGGCGCTGGTAATCGACGTGGGGAGGCCTTCATCCAGCGGTGGATTGACCATGGCTGCTGCTGCCGATGGTGGTGGTGATGATGGTGGTGGTGGCGGTGGTGGTGATGGCGGTGGTGGTGATGGTGGTGGTGGTGATGGCGGTGGTGATGGTGGTGGTGGTGATGGCGGTGGAGGTGGTGATGGTGGCGGTGGTGGTGATGGTGGTGGTGGTGATGGCGGTGGTGATGGTGGTGGTGGTGATGGCGGTGGAGGTGGTGATGGTGGCGGTGGTGGTGATGGTGGTGATGGTGGCGGTGATGGCGGTGATGGTGATGATGGTGGTGATGATGGTGGTGGTGGTGATGGTGGTGGTGATGGTGGTGGTGATGATGGTGATGATGGTGGTGGTGATGGTGGTGGTGATGATGGTGATGATGGTGGTGGTGATGGTGGTGGTGATGGTGGTGGTGATGGTGATGGTGGTGGTGGTGATGATGGTGATGATGATGATGGTGGTGGTGGTGATGGTGATGATGATGGTGATGATGATGGTGATGATGATGGTGATGATGATGATGGTGATGATGATGGTGGTGGTGGTGATGGTGATGATGATGGTGGTGATGATGGTGATGATGATGGTGATGATGATGATGGTGATGATGATGGTGATGATGATGGTGGTGATGGTGGTATCACGCAGGGCCGGGTCAAGGCGAGGCGGCTTCAGGGCCTGCGGCCCAGTGGCCTCCGCCAGCTGGAGGGCGCCTCCAGAGATGAAGTGGAAAGTGATTTAGTTTTGTGAATGCTCAATTTTATTTGTTGTCAGCCTTGTAAAAATACAGTTTAATTCTCTTTAACTTTGTTTTCATTTTGAAAATATCACTGGGGGGCGGGGGGGGGGGTGCTCACAGTACCTGTAGCCCAGGGGCCTTCACAATCTAAATTCGGCCCTGGATTCATGGCACCATCGATCCCGTGATCCGAGTCGGCATCAGGGTCCATTCCCCGTGGCTGTCACCTGCGAGCGGATGGGTGGGGGTGAGGGGGGTGGGTTGGGTGGGGGGGATGTGGATGGGTGGGGGGGTGGCTGGAGTGGGTGGGGGGGTGGGATGTGGATGGGTGGGGGGGATGGGAGGGGGGTTGGGGGGTGGGGGGGTTGGGGGGATGGGTGGGGGGGATGGGTGGGAGGGGCATGAGCAGCGGGCGACCTCTGCCCCTTGGCGCTGCGCTGAATGTCGCCTCTTGGCGTTGCGTAATCTCCGAGGCGTGACGCTCTCACCTGGGGGAACCGGCGAGGCAGGTGCGGCAGGTGAGGCAGGTGAGACAGGTGAGTTCAGCTCGTGTCGCAACCGGCTGGAGAGTTGCCGGTTCCGCGCCACCCGCCCGCGAGTCACGGAACCGGCTGCAGAGAGGAAGCTGAAATCAAATCCAGGGACGTCCTGAGGCTGCATCGGGAGCAACTTGATAGACGCGTGCGTGTGTACAGGTACTTGTGTGTGTACAGGTGTGTGTGTGTGTACAGGTATGTGTGTACAGGTGTGTGTGTACAGGTACTTGTGTGTGTGTACAGGTGTGTGTGTACAGGTACTTGTGTGTGTGTGCAGGTGTATGTGTGTGTGTACAGGTGTATGTGTGTACAGGTACTTTGTGTGTGTGTGTGCAGGTGTGTACAGGTACTTGTGTGTGTGTGCAGGTGTGTACAGGTACTTGTGTGTGTGTGCAGGTGTGTACAGGTACTTGTGTGTGTGTACAGGTGTGTACAGGTACTTGTGTGTGTACAGGTGTGTGCGTGTGTACAGGTGTGTGCGTGTGTACAGGTGCGTGTGTGCGTGTGTACAGGTGCGTGTGTGCGTGTGTACAGGTGCGTGTGTGCGTGTGTACAGGTGCGTGTGTGCGTGTGTACGGGTGCGTGTGTGCGTGTGTACGGGTGCGTGTGTGCGTGTGTGCGTGTGTACGGGTGCGTGTGTGCGTGTGTACGGGTGCGTGTGTGCGTGGGTACGGGTGCGTGTGTGCGTGTGTACGGGTGCGTGTGTACGGGTGCGTGTGCGCGTGTGTACAGGTGCGTGTGCGTGTGTGTACAGGTGCGTGTGCGCGTATCTTCGTCTTGTGTGCGTTGTGGGGCAGCGGTGGCGTAGCAGTGAGCGCTACGCTGCGTTATAAAACTGGGGACCCGAGTTCGATTCCCGCTCACGGCCAACACCGGCGACGATTATTTGAACCGGTCCTGGGCCTCCGCTAGGTCGACTCGGCCTCAAATGAGAACCTGGTGCGGTGTGTAGGGAACATCGCCGCTGGGGAGACAAAGGCGGCCGGGCGTGGCGCTGGCCACCCACCCCCTCGTGTGCCTTACCGGCCTTAATAGGTGCTGCTACTCGCTAACAGCACTTGCCCCAACAGTCTCTTAAGGCTACACGGGGCGTCTTTGTGTATTTCCCGTGTGTTTGTTGACCTCTGCGTGTTCTTGCGCGTACGCGTGCGTCTGTGCGCACGGGGACTGTGTCGCCTGCGTAGGGCGCGCAGCGGCTTGATGCGCGAACTGCGCCACCAAAGCCGGCGACTTGAGTTCGAGCCCCGCTCGCAGTCAACATCGGAGGCGAATGCGCGAACCGTTTCCTGTGCCCACACCTAGGTAGACTCAGCCCTAAAAATAAGTGAATCAGCCTCGGGGAGACGATCGCTGCCGAGCTTCGGTGGTCCCGCCACACCACCCCCTTGTGCGCTCGCTGCCCCAACAGCCTCCCGTCTGTGTGCACGCGTGGTGTTCGTAGCACAGAAGAGAGCGAGGAGAGCAGAGAGAGAGAGTAGGAGGAGGACTGCTCCCGTGGGTCCCAGCCTCGCCGAGGCGTAGAGGCCGCCCGCTGAGATGAGGCGACACCGACCCGGAGCGGTCCCTGGCGCGGAGGAGCTCGACCAGGTGAGGAGGAGCGCCACCACCACACCCACCACCACGACCACCCCCACCACCACCCCCACCACCACCACCACCACCCCCATCACCACCACCACCACCCCCATCACCCCCATCACCACCACCACCCCCACCACCACCACCCCCACCATCACCCCCACCACCCCCACCACCCGCACCACCACCACCCGCACCACCATCACCCCCACCACCACCACCACCCCCACCACCACCCCCACCACCACCACCCCCACCACCACCCCCACCACCACCACCACCCCCACCACCCCCACCACCACCACCACCCCCCCCACCACCACCACCACCCCCACCACCCCCACCACCACCACCACCCCCACCACCCCCACCACCCCCACCACCACCACCACCCCCACCACCAGGTGGTGGCCGTGAGTGGGGAGGCGGTGGCGCGGAGTCGTGATTGCGCACCGCGATGCGAACCCCCCAAAGTCGTCCCTCTCCCGCGCTCGCGGTCGACATCTGAGCCGGTGCCGGACCTCCCTCAGGTCGACTCAGCCTCAAATGAGTGCGCGGTGTGTAAGCTGTCGGCGAGCACCTGTTAAGGGCCACTCGCCCCCTCGTGTGGCCGTGCCGGCTGTCATCGGTGGCTCGCTCACAGCGCCGCGCCCCGACAGTCTGCACGTGTGCGTGGGGAGCGGTGGCGCCGTGGTTAGGGCACTGCGCTGCACACAAGGCAAAGATCCCCCGTGTAGCCTCAACAGACCGTTAGGGCAAGGTGCTGTTAGCGAGCACCTATGAAGGCCTGCACGGCACACGAGGGGGTGAGTGGCCAGCACCACGCCCGGCCGCCTTTGTCTCCCCAGCGGCGATGATTACACACCGCACCAGATAGTTATTGGAGGCTGAATCGACCTAGGGGAGGCCCAGGACCGTTTCAGATAATCGTCACCGGTGTTGGCCGTGAGCGGGAATCCTAGCGCAGCGCGCTAACCGCTACACACACACACGCACCCCATATCGTGGTACATGTACACACACTGTTCAAACATGCCGGCAGTGCATGCGTACACACTGCAAAAGAAAGACGCACCCAAACGATATTCGCGTGCACACACACCTTACTCATGAACTCACGCCTTACTCATGAACTCACACCGTACTCATGAACTCACAATAAATACCCCTTTTGTACTCTCAAAGTGCACGTAACGCAATAAACGCACGCACGTGCAGACTTACGAAGATAAACACAGACTGCTGGGGCGAAGTCGCTGTTAGCGAGCGCCTAAGAGGGCCGGCACAGCACACGAGAAGGCGGGTGGCCAACACCACGCCTGGCCGCCTTTGTCTCCCTGCTCCTCTAGCCACGCTCCTGCCCTTGACGAGAGTGGCGTCTGTCGTGAGCCGGCAGGTTCGGGAATGGGACCCATCGGCGCCTCTCACCGACTCGCAAAGACAAAGATCTCCCGATAGCCTTTACATGCTGTAGGGGCAAGTGCTGTTAGCGAGCACCTGTGAAGGCGGACACGGCGCACGAGGGGGTGGGAGGCCAGCACCACGCCCGAACACTGACTAACACACACAGACTCACGCAGACTCTCACACAGACCCATACAGATCCACAGACACCGATCCACACACACACAGACCCACACACACAGACCCACAAAGACTCACGCAGACCCACACACACCGATGCACACACACCGACGCACACACACAGACGCACACACACAGACGCACACACACAGACGCACACACACAGACGCACACACACCCACACAGACCCACACACACACGCACACACACACCGACCCATACAGACCCAAACAGACTCACACCGACTCGCACCGACCCATGCAGACTCTCACACAGAATCTCACCGACTCACACCGACTCTCAGACTCACGACACTCAGACTGACACAGACTCTCACAACCATCTCAGACTCACGACTCTCTCAACCATCACAGACTCTCACAACCATCACAGACTCTCACAACCATCACAGACTCTCACAACCACCACAGACTCTCACAACCACCACAGACTCTCACAACCATCACAGACTCTCACAACCATCACAGACTCTCACAACCATCACAGACTCTCACAACCATCACAGACTCTCACAACCATCACAGACTCTCACAACCATCACAGACTCTCACAACCATCACAGACTCTCACAACCATCACAGACTCTCACAACCATCACAGACTCTCACAACCATCACAGACTCTCACAACCATCACAGACTCTCACAACCATCACAGACTCTCACAACCATCACAGACTCTCACAACCATCACAGACTCTCACAACCATCACAGACTCTCACAACCATCACAGACTCTCACAACCATCACAGACTCTCTCAACCATCACAGACTCTCACAACCATCACAGACTCTCTCAACCATCACAGACTCTCACAACCATCACAGACTCTCACAACCATCACAGACTCTCACAACCACCACAGACTCTCACAACCACCACAGACTCTCACAACCACCACAGACTCTCACAACCACCACAGACTCTCACAACCACCACAGACTCTCACAACCACCACAGACTCTCACAACCACCACAGACTCTCACAACCACCACAGACTCTCACAACCACCACAGACTCTCACAACCACCACAGACTCTCACAACCACCACAGACTCTCACAACCACCACAGACTCTCACAACCACCACAGACTCTCACAACCACCACAGACTCTCACAACCACCACAGACTCTCACAACCACCACAGACTCTCACAACCACCACAGACTCTCACAACCACCACAGACTCTCACAACCACCACAGACTCTCACAACCATCACAGACTCTCACAACCATCACAGACTCTCACAACCATCACAGACTCTCACAACCATCACAGACTCTCACAACCATCACAGACTCTCACAACCATCACAGACTCTCACAACCATCACAGACTCTCACAACCATCACAGACTCTCACAACCATCACAGACTCTCACAACCATCACAGACTCTCACAACCATCACAGACTCTCACAACCATCACAGACTCTCACAACCATCACAGACTCTCACAACCATCACAGACTCTCACAACCATCACAGACTCTCACAACCATCACAGACTCTCACAACCATCACAGACTCTCACAACCATCACAGACTCTCACAACCATCACAGACTCTCACAACCATCACAGACCATCACAGACGCGATAAGTCGCAAGTCTCACTCTCATCTCTCAGTTTACAAATTCTATGAAAGTCATTTGAACGAACGAGACGAAACAATACAAACGAGACAGAGCAATACAAATAGCAGCTTGCAACGGGTGACGTTGTTGGTGGGGTGAGTGGTGGGGTGAGCGAGTGGCCCACGCACCTCGCGCTGCCACAGCCTCACTCGGCACCGCGCTCAGCGGCTCCATCATCACCATCACCATCACCACCACCATCATCATCATCACCATCACCACCACCACCATCATCATCACCATCACCACCACCATCATCACCACCACCATCATCACCATCATCATCATCACCACCACCATCATCACCACCACCACCATCATCACCACCACCATCATCATCATCACCACCATCATCATCATCACCACCATCATCATCATCACCACCATCATCATCATCACCATCATCATCACCATCATCATCATCATCACCACCATCATCACCATCACCACCACCACCACCATCATCATCACCACCACCACCATCACCATCACCACCACCATCATCACCACCACCACCATCATCATCACCATCACCACCACCATCATCACCACCACCATCATCACCACCACCATCATCACCACCACCATCATCACCATCATCATCACCATCACCATCATCCATCACCACCATCACCACCACCATCACCACCACCACCACCACCATCATCACCATCACCACCACCATCACCACCACCATCATCACCACCATCAGCGGTTCCATCATCACCACCATCATCACCACCACCATCATCACCACCATCATCATCACCACCATCATCACCACCATCATCATCACCATCAGCGGCTCCATCATCAGTAGCAGCAGCATTTTAATCACCATCAGCTGTAAATTATCATAATTATCAGCAGCAGTAAGAGTTTAATTATCATTATCAACAGCAGCAAGAGCAAGCTACATCATCAGCATCAGCTGACTGCGCATCAGCGGTAAAGTAATTGCCATCGGCTGCATCATAATCACCGTCAGCTTCATCACTAAGAAGCAGCGCAATCGTCATCCGCAGCAGCAGCAGCAGTGGCTGGCTGATGATGACGATGATGAGGTTGTGGTTGTTGCTGCCTTCGTTTGAAAGCTGTGGCGAGTACAATGACGCCACTGCAGGTGACACACGCACGTGGGAACGGGGTGTGTGGTTGGTTGTGCATCTGCCAGTCATCTCAGTCAGCCAAGCCATGGCACCTGCAGGGTCTGCCCCGAGACTCTCCTGTCAGCGAGCACTTTGAGGCTACCCGTGGTAGCCTCAAAGTGCACCTAGCCTGGCACAGGCGCCGTGGCGACGTCACGGTCACTTCGTGGCGAGTGGGGCTGGGTGTTGGTGCGGGTCTGTGAATGTGGTTGTGGTCGTTCTGGGTGTTAATGGGTTTTGATTGTGCGGCTGTGGTGGTTTTGTGGTGGTCGTGGCTGTTGTACTGCGTTTGTTGTGGTTCTTGCTACTTATCAAGTTGACCCCAAAAACATCACCCCGCCTCGCTGACGACTGCTCTGGAGACTTTGCCCACGTGGTTCCTCCCACGTGTCGCAACGGAGGGGCGATGCCGCCGTGTCAATGCCAACATGAGTCATGGAGAGACGCTTTACTCGCGTCGGCAATGGGATGATTGGCCAACGACCCCAATGGCGCGGCGCGTGTGGGGAGCGGTCGTGTGGGGGGCGACCCGAGCTCCACTCACGGCGGGGCGATCGTCTGAGGCCTTCAACCAGCAGTGGATAGACCTTGGCTGATGACGGTTGTGGTGGTTGTGGGGGTGGTGATGGTGGTGGTGGTGGTGGTGATGGTGGTGGTGGGGGTGGTGGTGGTTGTTGTGGTGATGGTGGTGGTTGTGGTGGTGGTGGTGCAAATGATTCGGGCCGCTGCTGCTCGCACGCGAGAACTCAACCTCGTCACGGGCCTCACCACAACCCCCTCACCACAACCTCACCAACCCCCCTCACCACAACCCCCCACACCACAACCCCCCTCACCACAACCCCCTCACCAACCCCCCTCACCAACCCCCCTCACCACAACCTGCGGTGAGAGCCGCGTGCTCTATCCACTGCACCAGTTTGCAATGGCCGTTTCAACTCAACGCAAAACAATTCCAGTCCAATATTGCGAATGGAGGCAACGTGGTTCAGGAGCAAGATGCCAATGAACGGTCTGGTGTTGATGAGTTAAGGACGGGTTTGCTCGCTTGAATCGGCGCCGGTGACCTGCCCAATGTCCTCGGGCAGGTCACCTGCAGGTCACCTGCAGGTGACCTGCAGCTCACCTGCCCAAGGACGCCCTCCGTTCAGCTGTGGCTCCGCAAAGCGATTGAATACACGACGCAAAATGACGCATGGGTGAAGTTTCCAGGGCGTGCCGCGCTCCTCACGACGCCTCTACCTCCCGCAGGGCGCAGGAGGGCCGCACGGCGGCCACGAGGGGCCCCTGGGCCACGAGGCGGCGCAGGACGACAACACCCCCGAGGTGCTCACGCGGGTCCTGTCGGGCCTCTCCAGCAGGTGGGTGGTGGGCCTCCCAGCAGCAGCCGCCTCTCTCTCTCTATCTCTCTATCTCTCTATCTCTCTATCTCTCTATCTCTCTCTCTCTATCTCTCTCTCTATCTCTCTACTCCTCCTCCTCCCTGAGAGACCACCAGATCTGTGGTGGTGGAGGTGGTGGTGGGCCTCCCAGCAGCCGCCTCCTCTCTCTCTACCTCTCTATCTCTCTCTCAGCCACCGTGGGGTGCGGTCGCACAAACGAGCTGCTCCTGCCCCTACCTGTGTGCGGATGGAGGCCTGGGCTCAGGTGAGAGCCTGAGCCCGGCCTAGAGAGAGGTGAACCAGGGAGAAAACGCTAAGTTATTCTGCGTTTTCTCCCCGTGTATCAGCCTGTAGTAGTAGCAGTTTTTAATACTACTGTTGTTTGTGTGTTTGTCTGTGTGTTCGTTTTGTTTGTCTGCTTGGCTGGTCGTTTTGTGTGTTTGCCTGTTGGTTTTATTATCTGGTTTAACACCGCGTGTGTTTGGCCTGTTTGTCTGTTTGGTGAGTGTTTGTTTGTGTGTTTGCTGTTTTGTGTGTTTGCTTGTGCGTGTGTTTGTTTGTTTGTCTGTCGTTTTGTTTGTTTGATTGTTTGGTTTTGTTGTTTGCTTGTTGGTTTGGTGGTGTGTGTGTTAGTTTGTGTGTTTGTCTGTGCGTGTGTGTGTTTGTCTGTCTGGTGGTTGGTTTTGGTTGTGTGTTGCGTGCTTGTTTGGTGTTTTATTACTTTTTTAGGCGAATATTTTTTTTGTTGCTACTGGTGCTGCCATGCGGGCGACATGGTTCAGCCCAGCAGCACGGAGGCTCTCACGGTCGACCATGGCTTCCGATGTTTTCCAACGCCGGGGACAACACCTGAGGAAGTCGCCACTGCAGTGGCAGTGCACACCGGGCTGCCTGCTGTCCGGGTGGTGCAACGGGAAAACCGTGGCTATGTTGTGTACGTAGCCACGGTGGAGGCGGCGGCACGTGTGGTGGAGAAGGGACTCAAAGTCGGAGGTGAGGGGGGGCCGCTGGTACAGTGCACCCCTCTCTCAGCACCGACGGTACGGGTAACCATCTCGGGCGCTCCACCGTATTTTACCAATGCGGGGTTGGTGAGAGAACTGCAGTATTACGGCACGGTGGCCTCAGGCATCGTTCAGTTACCAATGCGGTCGCGGAACCCTGCTATGAGGCATATCCTGTCCGGACAACGGCAGGTCTACCTCACTCTAAAAGGCGGACGGACGTACTGAGTTGGACGTGACCATCAAGCGTGTTGCTGGTGGCCGCGTCCATACCATGTACCTGGCCACAACCGCGCCACACTGTTACGGGTGTGGCAGCGTGGGACACGTGAGGAAAGACTGCCCCACCAAGACAAAGTCGTGTGGAGCAGCAACAGGGGCAACAACGCTGACGCCGCAGCCGCAACAACAACAGCAGCAGGAGCGCCCCGACCGATTCCGGCCTCGCCCGTTCCAGCACGGCAAAGAGGGGAGACGGAGGCTGCCGCCGACGCCGTCGGCGTGCCAAGCGGTGCCCTCGCTCCAAGGAGTGCCCCTTCATCCGCCCCGAGTGGTGGCGGGAAGAGGTCGAAGAAATCCAAGAGGAAGGGTCTACCCTCGGTGAAGCCGGGGGAGGGGGTCGGGGAAACCTCTGACGACGCGAACCCAGCGAACGTGATCGAGCCGGGAGCACGATCGCCGAGGCGGACCTCGCTCATCCCGGCGACAGGAGGAGAAGGGTCGCCGACCACCGCCAGTGCAGGCTCTGTGCTGTGCGGCGTTACAGCTCGGACCCCCCCCACCTCGTCTACCCTGACGGATGACGGGAGGGAGAGTGAGGAGCCCGAGGTAACTGATGGGGAAGGCGCCACCGAGCAGATCGGCTGCTCAGTGGAGGTGGAAGGAGAAGCGATGGAGGCCGACAGCGACGCGCGCCTGGTGGTGACGACCAAGGGGGCGCAAAGGCCGATTTCGACTCCAGCCTCTCAGACAAAGCTTGGAGTAGGAACGTTGATCGTTGCGGATGCGAGCCGGGTGCCGCGCGGTTTTGTACCCTTTAAAGGCAACCCCCCCCCCCCCCCCTCCGCCACAGAACGGATCAAGAGGCCGATGGGCTGGAGGAAGTTGCCTGCACTCGGGACGGAGCCTGGTGAGGTCCCCGTTCCCGGAACGTCGGCAGACACCGGAGGGTGGGTTGGCGCCGATGGGAAAGCTCATGGCGATGACTTGGAGGATGATTTGGACAGGGCGAAGTACCCCCAGAAGCTTGGAGGTTGGAGGAATCCAGCCTAAGCCGGGAGAGTGCACGCCGAAAACCGTCCTTGCTTGGATAAGGATGATGCATAAGGGAAAAACAGGGAACATGTTGAGAGAGTTATACAAAGCCTTCCCCGATAGGCGCGCCTTTGCGAGGGCGGCCATGAAGGGTTTCTTCAATCCACACAGGTACGGCTACAGCGAGGTGGAGGCCGATCGCGCGATGACGTTGACGGGCGACTTGGGAATGCTTGACTCTTACAAACAGAAGGAGGAGGTGGGAGCCAAGATATGGGGGGTCGATAGCGATCCGCAGGCGGAAAGGCCGGAAACCTGGCCTCCCATGAAGAACTGGGGGTGCTCTCCCGAATACCTTCTCGGTTTTCTGAGATGGTCCAAGGGGAGACGTAACATCCGAGTGCGGGACAGCTTCCCCAATAGGGGAAACTTTATGAGCGTGGCTCGGCGCGTCGTCCAAGACCCGAAGCAGGTATGGATATAGCCGCCAGGAGATGTTCCGGGTGAAGGCTCTGATGAGCAAAGTCCAGAAACAGCCCTCACCCCCACCCACCACCCCCTTCCCGCCCGAGGCCTTGGGGGCCTTGAAGACGCCACCGCCACCACCATCATCGCTGTCGTCGGTTGAGATGGAGGGTGAAGATGTGGGAGAGGGAGGGCCGGTGATTTAGGCAAGGGACCGTGAATGCCTGGACATCGCGCACGCCGGACACTGACTGTGAGGCGGTGGCGATGTGGTGCGCGATGGCTGAGCAGTGCTTGGTGTTGCCATGGGATGACCACACCGAATGCACTTGGACTTGTTTCAGTGCAATTTGCGCCGGAACCTGAACGACGCGCATACCGGACATTGACTGTGATGCGGTGGCGATGTGTTGCGTGACAATAAGTGATGTGTATGGTGTTGCCATGAAGGCATGTACGTTCGTTTTGATGCACGGAAAGGCTCCGGCGCCTTGGGCGCTAGAGTAATAAAGATTTCAAAAGTCAAAGTCTATCTCTATCTCTCTCTATCTCTCTATCTCTATCTCTCTACTCCTCCTCCTCCCTGAGAGACCACCAGATCTGTGGTGGTGGAGGTGGTGGTGGGCCTCCCAGCAGCCGCCTCCTCTCTCTCTATCTCTCTATCTCTACTACTCTTCCTCCCTGAGAGACCACCAGATCTGTGGTGGTGGTGATGGAGGTGGTGGTCATGGTGGAGTGGCAGTGTAGCGGTTAGCACGCTGCCAGAGTTCGATTCCCGCTCACGGCCAACACCAGTGACGATTGTCTGATCCGGTCCTGGTTCTCGCCTAGGTCGACTCGGCCTCAAATGAGTACCTTGTGCGGTGTGTAAACATCGCCACTGGGGAAACAAAGGCGGTCGGGCTTGGTGTAGGCCAACCACCCCCTCGTGTGCCATTCCGGCCTTCATAGGCGCTCGTGAACAGCACTTTCCCCAACAGTCTATTGAGGCTACACGGGGGATCTTTGTCTTTGTTTTGGTGGTCATGGTGGAGGTGGTGAAAGTGGAGATGCACTTTCGCTTTCGGTTGCGCAATCCTTGACAGGAACTCTCAAGGGATCGTTCTTCTGATTCATAATAGAGGTTTTTTTGTGTTAGATCGCGTAAATATATAAATGTGTCGTTAAACCCGCCACCACCCGACACGGCGAACTAGTAAGGGTTGTCACGTAAACAGATCGTGGCCAATTCGTCACTAGTACAGCACTAGTGTGTAGTGTAGTGTATAGTAGTGTATGGTGTAGTGCATAGTGTAGTGTATAGTAGTGTATGGTGTAGTGCATAGTGTAGTGTATAATAGTGTATGGTGTAGTGCATAGTGTAGTGTATAGTAGTGTATAGTGTAGTGTATAGTGTATAGTAGTGTATAGTCGTGTATAGTGTAGTGTAGTCGTGTATAGTGTAGTGTATAGTAGTGTATAGTGTAATAGACTAGTACAGCACTAACCGGTGTGTTGGAGTGCCAAGCCACAACATTTACAATCTGAGTACGACGTTTCGCCAGTAATTACAACCAGCTTCATCAATCAATTGAGTGTCCTTGCTGGCACGCATTTTCTGCTACTGCTAACAGTTGTATTTGGGATTATTTTATAGTTTTCTGATGTTCTTTTAGTCTCGTGCTGATTATTCGTCCTGTTTGCCCAACACATCATTTGCCGCAAGTGCAGTTAATGTCAATGTACGTTGGCTTATTAATCCCCCCCCCCCCCTCCACTTTGTGCAAGGTGGACTTCTCCACAAATCTGGCTGTGTCTGATGAAGCTAGTTGTAATTACTGGCGAAACGTCTTACTCAGTTTGTAAATGTTGTGGCTTGGCTCTCCAACACACCGGTGTGCTGTACTCGTGACGAATTGGCACGTTCTGTTGACGTGACAACCCATACTAGTTGGCTGTGTCGGGTGGTGGCGGGTTTAACGACACATTTATGATATTGGATGATATTGATCGTGAAAGCCTACTACGTGCTCTTCTGATTGATGACAGACGTTGGGTTCGGTAACGACTCGACCAGGTCTGTGTCTTTAGGAACGCCCACCCCCCGCCACTACCACCCGACACAGCCCAACCAGTAAAGAGACCGCGAGCGTTTAACGAAATGCCCCCCCCCCTCCCCCCCCCCCCCCCCCATGTCGTCACGTCGGTTTCCACCGACGAGGTGCAGAGCGAGTCTCACAGCCGCCTAGCGACCAGAGAATGACGTCTCTCTCGCAAACTGCGTCAAGCATCGTCGGGACGCCTTCGCGTCCGCACAAAACTGAACTTTGGCCGTGACAACCGTTCTTGAAACAAGAGCGGTTTGACGCGGAAATCGCCGGCACGCGCGGCCGTTTAATGAGTTTGGGTGTGTCGAGTGGTGGAGGCTTTTACCACACGAATTTGATTATTACATCGTTGCGTGGACTAACCCTGAAGTGAACCGTGCATCGCGATATCGGCTGCGGAAGCCTCCGTGTACACAGCGATGTCCTTGTGGCTTCTCCTCTCCAGGTGGAGGAACATGTGGGTGCGGAGCATTCTGGGATTCGCGATGTTCTCCTCCTACTGGCTGCTCATCTACACTGGGCCGATCGGCCTCATCGCCATGGTGATTAGCGCAACCGGGGTCCTCATCGCCATGGCGATTAGCGGAGCTGGTGTCCTCATCTCCACGGCGATTACCATAGCCGGTGTCATTATCGCCATGGCGATGGGCGGAGGCAGGGTTCTCATCTCCATGGCGATGAGCGGAGTTGGGGTCCGCTTATCGCCATGGCGATGAGTGGAACTGGCTTCCTCAGCATCCGGGGGGGGGGGGGGGGGGGGGGTTGTTCGCCATGACGCTTCACACGAGGCAGCCGCAATTACTCGGCCCGACCCTCCTGGCAAGGTGCCACGAGGCTTTCCTGGGTAAACAGGTGGAGTGATAACGACGGCAATCACCTGAGGACAGGCCTGCAGTGGGAGCCGGGTGGACCGAGTCCTCAACGTGGGGTGGAGAAAATCAACGAGCGAAGTTCGCGGGAAGCAGTAAACCACCACGGGGAGGCGACCGACTGCCGGGTGAGCGATCGGAGCGTCGATCGTCGCGGTGCAGCGGTGCGAGGCAGGAGCCGGGAACCCCACCCCAGACGTGGCAGCGGCAGCAGCGGGAGGGCTCGAGCCGCGGCCGAGTTGCGGGCCTCGTGCGGTGGCGGCGAGACGCCGCGAGAGCCGTGGTGGAGGGAAATGCTCTTCGCTCATCGTCGTCGCCGCGCTGGTAACGGTTGCCGTGTGTTGTTGCTTGTCTCTGGTTGCCTGCCGCGTGCGCAGGTCTTGGTGCTGCAGGCCAAGTGCTTCCACGAGATCATTGGGATCGGGTACGTGGTCTACAACTCCTACAAGCTGCCCTGGTTCCGCTGTCTCAGCTGGTGAGTACATCGTCGTCATTGTCGTCGTCGTCGTCGTCGTCATCGTCGTCATTGTCGTCGTCACAGTAATAACGACGAGAGCGATTCATTTTGATGGAGCGCTCCAACACGTGGCGAGCGACTTGCATCGCCTCGTGACGATTCGAGGGGCACCCCCGGTGGCAGCTGCTCCCTGCGACGCGTAGCACCCGGCGAGCAGGCGGAGGTGGGGGAGGGGTTGGGAGCCCGAGGAGGAAGCTCGGGTGCGGGGGTTGCCGGCGCCGTCCCCGTAACCGCTCGCGCTCTGCCCCAGGTACTTCCTGCTGTGCGCCAACTACTTCTGCTACGGGGAGACGGTGGTCGACTACTTCTCCACGGAGTTGAACCTGGGCGGCACGGTGCGCATGCTCATGCGCTACCACCGCTTCATCTCATTCATGCTCTACCTGGCAGGTGCGCCGCTCCGCACCGCTCCGCCGGTCTCGTCCGCCGTGTCCTTTAGCTCTGCGTTGGGCGGTTCCTCCGGCGTCTGCTCGCGGAAGTCTTGTCCCGGGTTTCTCCCCTTGCGAGGCTCGCGGCCTCCGCTGACGCTCACCTGCTCCCCACTGCAGGGACTTTACGACTCGTTTAGAATGACGTCGCCGGTGCACTGTGAAGCAGGCGGTGTGTAGTAATTTTACGGTTAATTCACCAGAAATATTAACCAGGGAGGCCAGCCGGATTTGAACCGCGAACCTCTAGAATAGTGGTGAACGAGCTACCGCTGGGCTGTGTTATGCTGTTCGTTATCTCCTCCACAATGACGCAATGTTGTTATTTATTACCCAAAAGACATCGATGTTGTTGTTGTTCAGAACAGGTTTTTTGGGTTATATCGCGTGAATGTATAAATGTGTCGTTAAACCCGCCACCACCCGACACAGCCAACTAGTAAGGGTTGTCACGTAAACAGAATGTGGCCAATTCGTCACTAGTACAACACTAGTGTGTAGTGTATAGTGTAGTATACTTGTACAGCACACCGGTTGTGTGTTGGAGAGCCAAGCCACAACATCTACAATCTGAGTACGACGTTTCGCCAGTAATTACAACTAGCTTCATCAGGCATAGCCAGATTTGTTCTTGAGTGAAGTTGGGGGGGGGGGGGGGGGGTTTAATGAATGCATATAAATGACAATGGGAATCCATTGCCGTTTGGGTTATTTGTATGGTAATTAACGTGCGTTATGCATGCACATTCTGCAAGGCCATTATTCTTGTACATCCTGTAGATTGTGTGTACTAAAATAGCCGTACCTGTAAAATTTCAACGGTAATCCCTGTTGCAGTAGGGTGACCTGTATAGGCATGGATTTAAAGAATGTACTATTTGATGATTTGCTTCCAAGCAGCACTAAGTCTGTAGCTATCCGAACGGTTAACATTTTTACATCTTTAAATTTCGATAGATGCTCTAAATTGTCTTGGCCAGTAGTAGCTAGTTTTGCACAGAACTTCAACATTATCAAAGTAAATTGAGTGTCCTTGTTGGCACGCGTGTTCTACAACTGCTGACAGTTGTATTTGGGATACTTTTATATTTATCTGATGTTCTTTTCGTCTCGTGCTGATCGTTCGTCCTCTTTGCCCAACATAACATTTACCACACGTGCAGTTAATCCGGTACACACCTTCTGTTGATAGCTTCGGCAATACATCTTTTGTAGCAGATATTAATTTCTGCATTTTATGTACTGTGCCAAATCTGACTCGGGTGTTTTGTTTTTCCAAACATTTAGTTACTCCTGCAATGTACGGTATTTTTTATAGTTTTAACTGGTCGCGAAAGGATGATATTGTTCTCAAAAGCCGACGTGTCAAGCTGTTGTTGTTGTTGTGTGTAGGGCTGTGCATGTTTGTGCTGAGTCTGGTGAAGCGTTACACCAGACTGCAGTTCTTCATGGTGAGCTCCGCTCAGTCACTCACTCATCCAGTCACTCAGTCATTCAGTCACCGGCTCATCCAGTCCCTCACTCAGTCGCTCACTCACTCATCCAGTCACTCACTCATCCAGTCACTAACTCACCCATCCAGTCACTCACTCATCCAGTCACTAACTCACTCATCCAGTCACTCACTCTTCCAGTCACTCACTTATCCAGTCACTCATCCAGTCACTCACAATCAATCACTCACTCGTGCAGCCACTCGCACTCAATCACTAACCCACTCACTCACTCAGTCACACTCTCACTCACTCAGTCAACTCTTTGGTCTGGCGTGTGTGGACGAAGCAGCACCCAGGCCTAGAGACACACAGCACCTCGCCTGTGTGGACGAAGCAGCACCCAGGCCTAGAGACACACAGCACCTTGCTGTCTGCGTGGCTTTGGCTGTTTGTGTCTGCGGTGGCGTAGCGGTTCACGTGCCGCGCCTACCAACCCGGCCACCCGAGTTCGATTGCCGCTCACGGCCAACACCGGTGGCGATTATCTGAATCGGTCCTGGGCCTCTCCTAGGTCGACTCGGCATCAGAGTGCCTGGTGCGGCGTGTAAACATCGCCACTGGGGAGACAAAGGCGGTCGGGCGTGGTGTTGGCCACCCACCCCCTCTCGTGTGCCGTGCCGGCCTTCATAGGGGGTGTTCGCTAACGGCACTTGCCCCCGCAGTCCGTCACAGGCGACACACACGGGGCGATCTTTGTCGTTTCTTTTGTGCAGTTTGGCTGGACGCACATCACGCTCCTGCTCATCGTGACCCAGTCTCACCTCGTCATTCACAACCTCTTCGAGGGCATGATCTGGTGAGCACCGGGGCAGCCCAGAACTCACGCCTCTCCCTCTGCCCCGCAGTCTCTCCCCAAGGCGCAGCGCCCCACGTGTGTGGCCCTTTAGAATCGCCCTCCGCACTGAGCGCCACTCTGCTCGATGATCGATGCCAAGTGAACGGTGACCTCCGGTCCCCAGAGCAGGGGCGGCACTCTCCCACCCGCCCCCCGCCACCAAGATTCGTGTCTGTCGCGTGGCAGCCGAACCGAAGTTGTAATTCTCAGCGGTGAAAGGGGAAACCACATTTGGTGGAGCGCCACATGTGGTTGTTGTACGATGTGGTGTTTTTGTTGTGTGCGGTCATTGGTGGCTGCTGGGCCGAGGTCATCAGCTGCGCTACTCCTGAGAACCAAGTTTAATCGCAACTCAGTCTATGCATCTCTAAGTTGTGTCTTTGCATTTCTAAGTGAGCCTACGTGTCTTTATGCAAGTCCATGGGTCTGTGTAACTCAGTGTGTCTTTGAATAAGGTCGTGGGTCTCTGTGTAAGTCAGTGGATCTGTATGTAAGTGGGTCTGCATGCGAGTCAGTGGGTCTCTGTGTAAGTTAGTGGGTATCTGTGTAAGTCAGTGGGTCTTTGTGTAAGTCAGTGGGTCTCTGTTTAAGTCAGTGGGTCTCTGTGTAAGTCAGTGGGTCTCTAAGACAGTGGGTCTCTGTGTAAGTCAGTGGGTCTTTAAGACAGTGGGTCTCTGTGTAAGTCAGTGGGTTTCTGCGCAAGTCAGTGGGTCTCTAAGTCCATGGGTCTTTATGTAAGTGGGTCTGCATGCGAGTCAGTGGGTCTCTGTGTAAGTTAGTGGGTATCTGTGTAAGTCAATGGATATCTGTGTAAGTTAGTGGGTCTCTAAGTCAATTGGTCTCTTTGTAAGTCAGTGAGTTTCTGTGTAAGTTAGTGGGTCTCTGTGTAAGTTAGTGGGTCTCTATGTAAATCCGTGGGTCTGTATGCGAGTCATTGGTGACCGGCCTGAGACCACCAACTTGCCCCCAGGTTCGTGTTCCCCATGTGCGTGGTGATCTGTAATGACATCGCTGCCTACATCTTCGGATTCTTCTTCGGGAGGACGCCCCTCATCAAGGTGAGGATCACAGAAGCCCCACGGCGACGGGACGGATCGCCCTCGTCGCTCGCGTTCATTACGGGACTGCTCGTTCCTGGCCAAGCGGACAACTCGGCTCCTTCATGTGTCCTTCACGATTCCTTCACGTCTCCTTCAAGTCTCCTCCACACCTCCTTCACGCCTACACGTTTCCTTCACGTCTCTACGTTTCCTTCACGTCTCCTTCACGTCCCCTTGACGTCTCCTTCTCTCCACTTAATACACAGTCTGATTTACACGTCCCTTGTAAAGGTGTTTTCGAGGTTAGATTAAGTAAATAAACCCGCCACCACCCGACAGCCAATCAGTGAGGTTTGTCACGTGAACAGAACTTGACAATTAGTTACCACGTGAGCACATTTATAATAACGCGATCAAACCCAAAAAACAACCTTTATTGGGGATAATATTGGTCGCGAACGCCTACTGCGTGTTATACAACATGCACGGCCCTTCTGGGAATTAATAATTTCAGGATCATTGGTTGGGTACAAGCAAAAACTTCGGCGCGGTTTTTGGCAGTGTCTGGTAATTTGTGACCAAGATGAACGAAAACCGCCTGACCACGATCACAGCCAGTGCAGCGAGCGGGCACTGTGCGTGCGTGTTCACGTGTGCGTGCATGTTCATGTGCGTGTGTGACTGGGCGCGATGTTCCCCGTGTACACACCTCGTGCTCTGCAAGTCAGAGATGTAACTGTCTTGCGCGCCTTCATCATCGCATGTCGGCTGCGCATGCATCACCTGGGACCCTGGACACCCGCATGCGCGCGCGCCGTGTCCCATCTCACGGGGATTCCCAGGTGGAGGAGTTGAGTCTGTTGGTGAAACTCGGCAAGCCCGTCGCTAACGAGGAGTGGACGCGTCCCCCAGGTATCGCCCAAGAAGACGTGGGAAGGATTCATCGGCGGCTACATCTCGACACTCGTGTTTGGAATCCTGGTGAGAGAGCAGCCGGCCGCGTGCGTGGCCCAGTCTCTGTCCGCTGCTGGCCAACCCACGTGGCTCGTGTCCGCCGATGTCACCGCACCTCGCTGTCGCTTCCTTCCTTCTGCCCGTACAATACCCACGACCTTAATAGGCGCTCGCGCACAGCGCACTGCGCCTGTGCGCTGTTCCTGCCGCACGATAAAGGAGAGCGGCGGTGCAGCGGTTAGCGCCCCGCACTCTGAACCCAGCGGCCAGTACCACGCCCGGCCGCCTCTCGGTTCAACATTTGCGGCGATTCTGCCTTGAAAATTCGTACCTCGAGCGGTGCGTGAACATCCAGCACTGGAGAGACAAAGGCGGCTGGGAGTGGATCTGGCCAAACCCGACCCCTCGCGTGTGCCGCTCGCTCGGAGCGCGCTCGCCACTACTGGCCTGTGGGGGGCTACACGGGGGTGGTGGTGGGGGGCCTTCTGTCTATGTGTCACTGTGTGTGTGTCACTGTGTGTGTGTGTGTGGGGGGCAGCTCTCCCACGTGCTGTGCGGGCACCGCTACTTCGTGTGCGCCGTGGAGCCGAGTGGCGGCACGGCGGCGAGGGCGGCGGCGTTCATCATGGAGTGCGAGCCCTCGGAGACGTTCCGGCTCACGCGCTACCACGCGCCGGCGCTGCTGCAACACCTCGCCGGCATCGTGAGCACCGTCGGGGGGGGGGGGAGTGACGGGGGGGGGGGGTGACGGGGGGGGGGGGGGGGGGGGGGGGGGTGACGGGGGGGGGGGGTGACGGGGGGTGTTTGTCTGTGTATTTATATATCTGTGCGTCTATCTGTGTGTGTGTGTCTATCTGTGTGCGTCTACCTGTGTGTGCGGCTACCTGTGTGTGCGTCTACCTGTGTGTGCGTCTACCTGTGTGTGCGTCTACCTGTGTGTGCGGCTACCTGTGTGTGCGGCTACCTGTGTGTGCGGCTACCTGTGTGTGCGGCTACCTGTGTGTGCGGCTACCTGTGTGTGCGTCTATCTGTGTGTGCTGTGGGTAGTGTCGCGGTTAGCGCGCTGCTCTACGAACCCGGGGACCGCTCACGGCCAACACCGGTGACGATTGTCTGCACCGGTCCTGAGCCTCCCCTAGATGGACTCAGCCTCAAATGAGTACCTGGTGCGGTGTGGTGCTGGCCACCCACCCCCTCGTGCGCCGTGCCGGCCTTCATCGGTGCTGCTCGCTAACAGCACTTGCCCCAACAGTCTGTTAAGGCTTCACGGGGGATCTTTGTCGATGTTTTGTCTCCGTGTGACCGACTGTCTCCCCATGTCCGCGTGTCCCTAGGAGAGCCTCTGGCTCTACCCGTTCCAGCTGCACGCTCTCGCCCTCTCCTCCTTCGCGTCTCTCGTCGGCCCCTTTGGGGGGTTCTTTGCCAGCGGCTTCAAGCGCGCCTTCCAGATCAAGGTGTGCGACGCAAAGACAAAGATCCCCCGTATAGCCTGTAACAGACTTGGGGCAAGTGTTGTTAGAGAGCACCTATGAAGGCCGACACGGCACACGAGGGGATGGGTGGCCAGCACCACGCCCGGCCGGCTTCGTCTCCCCAGTGGCGATGTTTACACACCGCACCAGGTTCTCGTTTAAGGCTGAGTCGACCTAGGGGAGGCCTAGAACCAGTTAAAATATTCACCACTGTTATAGGTCGTGACCAGGAATCGAACTTGGGTCGCCAGACTGTTGTAGTGCACCGCTAGTCAATGTACCACCGCTCCCCACTTGGTGTGCGACGCACACACATACACGCACGCACGTGTGTGTGTGCGTGGTAATGGCCGTGGTGGTTGCGGTTGCCGCGGTGACCGTAGTGATCACGTGGTGCGGCCTGCAGGACTTCTCGAGCAGCATCCCGGGCCACGGCGGCATCGTGGACCGCCTGGACTGCCAGTACGTGGTGGGCACCTTCACCCACGTCTACATCAGCACCTTCATCCGGTGAGGGCGCCGCACCACCTCCCCTACCCAGCAGAGGGCGCCCCCCGGGAAAGCGGCGGAGGTCGGGGTGGGGGTCACTCACCGGCTGTCGAGACTCCCTCACTTACCACCCGTGGGTGGCCAGGGCACCCACCTCCTGGCTTGCCAGGGTGCGACGGGAGTACGGCAAGGGGGTTGATTTCAGGGGGGCCGCTGGATTTGAACGGTTGAACCTCTGGTGACGACGACTCTGATGTTGTGTCGCCACCTCTGCTTCTCCCCCGCAGGGCTCCAAACGTGAATAAGATTATTCAGCAACTCCTGACGTTGAAGCCCGAGCAGCAACTGGAGATTTTCAACCAACTCAAGGATCAGCTTCTCAGCAGGGGTCTCATTTGACCACCACGTGGCTCCTGGTTGAGGAGGCTATAAACTCAACTGCATACAAGCACCACAACCGCCACCTCCACAACTCTCCTCTTTTCTCCAAGTTCCAAGGAGGAGCACCAGGGGCGAGCCCTCGTCCCAGGCCCCTCCCCGCTCAAGGACACCGTCTCAGCTGGGGTTCTGGGCCTTCTTCTCTCGCAGCGTCGAGACATTTCTGAGTTTTGGTCGGTGAAACGAGATGAAGAGTGAGGAGGAACCACCGGCGTTGCGATGCTGCCTTCTGGGAGCGCGATGCCCTGTCCTGGGTGTCCGCGTTTGTCACCCGGAGTGGCGATGACCTCAAGGGCGGCGGTCCGTCATGTTTTTTTAATATTTGTCTCACAACACAACAGATGGTTTGTGATTCATAATTAGATATTTTTCGGGTGAGGCCACGAAGTGATCTGGCCAGATTTATCTCGTAAGAACCTCCCCACCACACGACACGGCCAAACAAATGAATTGTCACGTGGTGTGCAGACGTTTCATGACGTGCCGACGATAGCAAACCTGTCAACCCCTTATCAGTGCCCCTGCCTTATTACAGACCAATTCAGACCTTATTGGTCACCCCGTGCCATTTATTAATCTCAAGGTTCATCCTGCAAAGTCCCATCACAAGGGAGAAACACAAACAAATAGACAAACAATATGTTCTCCGTGTTGAAACGGCTGTGTGACGTATGGACTCAATTTCCCTGTGCAAGAATACGGGGTAAACCGCGTGGGCTGACAGCTCTGCTATAGTTTGTTCACCTCGCTCAGCGGCGAGGTGCGGGGGACGAGCCTCACGGCCACATTCAGCGGTGAGATCCGCGACGTTTCTCTCGAAGCTGCCCCGAGCATTCTTGGGGCCTGGGTTGACGGTGGCCTGGGTTGACCCGACAATGTGCGCGTGCGTCGCTGTGGTCAGAGCAGCTGACTCGTGATCCGGAAGTCACGAGTTCAAGTCCCTGGCTCGGGGTCAGCAGCTGAGGAGGTGCAGTCAGTGCCGGATGAAGTTCGCGTGGGGCCTGTAGCATGATGTTATAAAGGGGCCCTAAACAAAAGAAACACATAAATATTAAAACACAATTTTTTTGTTACTGTCATAATAAAGTAATTGTATGTTTTCATTTGCTATACAGCCCGATGATACGACAAATCGCTAACCTTACACACCCAGTCATTAATAAAAATTGAAGGCAGTATAGTACTATAGTAATAGAGCAAGTACAGAATAACTAAACCGGAGTTGATACCTTGAAAGCATTTGGCTCGGGGCCCTTGAAAGTGCGGGGCCCGTAGCAAGTGCAGCTGCTACACGTGTAGCTACTACTACTATACGTGCAGCTGCTACACGTGTAGCTACTACTACTATACGTGCAGCTACTACACGTGCAGCTACTACACGTGCAGCTACTACACGTGCAGCTACTACGGCTACTACACGTGCAGCTACTACACGTGCAGCTACTCGTGGTGCTACTACACGAGCAGCTACTACACGTGCAGCTACTACACGTGCAGCTACTACACGTGCAGCTACTCGTGGTGCTACTACATGTGCAGCTACTACACGTGCAGCTACTACATGTAGTAGCTACTACACGTGCAGCTTCTACACGTGCAGCTGCTACACGTGCAGCTGCTACACGTGCAGCTACTACACGTGCAGTAGCTACTACATGTAGTAGCTACTACACGTGCAGCTGCTACTACTACACGTGCAGTAGTAGCTACTACACGTGTAGTAGCTACTACACGTGCAGCAGCTACTCGTGGTGCTACTACACGTGCAGCAGCTACTCGTGGTGCTACTACACGTGCAGCTGCTACACGTGTAGTAGCTACTACAGGTGCAGCTACTACACGTGCAGCTGCTACTACTACACGTTACAGCTACTACACGTGCAGTAGCTACTACACGTGCAGTAGCTACACGTGTAGCTACTACTACTACACGTGCAGCTACTCGTGGTGCTACTACACGTGCAGCTGCTACACGTGCAGCTGCTACACGTGCAGCTGCTACACGTGCAGCTGCTCGTGCTGCTGGGATCGTCGGCACTGGGTGCAGCGGCTGGGGAGGCGTGCACTTCGGGCTCAGGGCCACCAAGGGAGATGCGGAGGGTCGCCCACTTGTTTGATTTGACGAGGGTAAATTATGGTAAACGAAGTGAGGCGATGTTTAATAATAATAAATTATGTTTAATGATGGTAAAATATGTTGTTTGTAGGAGCTACTGAAATAAAACCGATAGGAGTTTCCACCAGAATTGGTTGATGTGCTTACTTCGTGTATAGACGAGAGAATCCAAAATCATCACCAACTATGGAGTCGTCGATTTACTACGATGACCATTGCATCAGGCAAGTCCCACTGAGCGATGTAGCTCCTTTTCAGAAGCGACCTGCACATCACAAATGAAAGTTCAACGAAGTGGTTCATCATCACGTGGAAATGTAAAGCGGCCAAAATACTCTAAAGGCGTGATGTTAATCCTAAGTGGGTAGGGAAAAAACGAAGGACCCGGAGAAAAATCCACGTGGCAACAGGCAAACTCCAAATATACAGCAGGCGTCGGGGTCGGAATCGATCCCACGGCCTCCTGTATACCAGGCGAGGTAAATTGAGATTTAAAGCTTTCGTGGCTGCAGGGATTCATATTCTTGGATCTTTCGATAAAGTCACGTAGAAGGGAAATAATAAAATAATAAAAATACGACAAAATTCTCACGACGTTTCGGCCACAACACAAGCAGCCGTCTTCAGGTGAAGAACAGAGCTGTCGGAAAGACCGCGTCCTCACTAAGACTAAGAATACCAGGCGAGGGAGTGAACATCTTGCTGCTGAACGAAGGCTTCACCAACCCGTCTCCATGTTTATTTCTAGATTTGAAGCTTTCGTGACTGCAAGGATTCGTACTCTTAGGTTTTTTCGGTAAAGTCGCGTAGGTAAAAATAAAATGTAACAATGCTGTGACGTGACAACCCATCGAGTCTCTGCGCACGCGCGGATTTCGTCGCTCCGTCTCCGCAGCGGACGTGTACTTTCGGACGCCGCCTCTCCCCTCCTTGGCCGCCACTCCGCGGTCGTCGCTTTGTTAAGACTCCGACAATTGTGACCTCGTGGAAATTTGCCGGGGAACGTGCAGTCAGATATCTTGTGATGGATGGCCCGATTTAAGTGCGTGCTGTGGCGGTTGAGATCGCTGTCCAAAGACAAAGATCCCCCGTGTAGCCTCAAACAGACTGGGGGCAAGTGCTGTTAGTAGCGGCACCTAAGAAGGCTGTTACGGCACATGAGGGGGTGGCTGGTCAGCACCATGCTGGCCAACCACCCTCTCGTGGCCAAACCCCCCCCCCCCCACACCACCACCTCCCCCCGCTGGACAGACTGCCACTCCCGCCATAGTAACGTGGCATTTCCACCAATGGGATCGTCAGAAGGGTGCCACCCAAATTCCTCATTTGAAAAGGGAGGCATCCTCGACTTGACTTGAATAATTTAATCAACCCATCAACGCTATCGGCCGGCGTTGTGGACACGTGTGTACGTCACGAAGTAACACACACACGCGCGCGTGTCACGTGTCCCGTCAATTCCGTCATCGGACAACCGATGCGGTGAAACCTGAATCCGACGCGACGTGAGTGACATGAAGGCTCGTGGTGGCGACGATGATTGGTGGTGGTGAGATTTGCACCTAACGCGCGGCCGACCGCAAGACTTGCAGCCGACACACAAAGTAGGGCAGCAAGGACGCATCGATTAATCAATTACAATCGATTATTTTCTCTTTATGACGTCACTGGTTTTGCAGGAACACCCGCCAGCCACTAGAGGCGCTACAGCAATTAACACTGTAAAATAAATAAATAATCGACCAATTAATCGACTCGCAACTCGGCGAGGGAGGCGGAAATCGCTTGAGGGCACCCCGAGCAGAGCGCCGCGAGGCGCACTCCGTGTGCCGACCCGGGCGGCATCAGCACGCGCCGTGCCGCCTGACGGCACGGCGCCCGCTCACACCACGTGGCCAACAACAACAGTCCGGCTCAAGCTCTCAGTGTGGGGTAGGGGGGGAGATCTTTGTCTTTGACGGTGGTTTATGGTGGTAGCGGTGATGGAAGTGGTGATTGCGGTGGTGGTGGTGGCGAGGGTGGCGATGTTCAGGACAAGCCGTGACGTGAGCACACGCGAGTCGCACCACCCTCACCACCCCACGCACCACCCACCCTCACCACTCACGCCACCCTCACCACCCGCACCACTCACGCCACCCTCACCACCCGCACCCCCCTCACCACCCACACCCCACCCACCACACGCCCCACCCTCACCACCCGCACCACACAATCACACATACTAACATACAACACACACACGTACATGCAGATGCATACATCCACCACACACACCATCACACAAAGGTTTCCGTTCTCCACTAAGATATGGTGGTGATGTGACAATATCGCTTATGTCGGGCGAGGTGCACGTTCAGGCTGTACACAAAGACACAAACATCGACTTCTCACTTGAATCCCAAATCTGTTTATCCACACTGATGGATGGGCAGGCAGACGCGCGCGCTCTCCGACAGAAGTCACGTTGAGCGAAACACCGGGGGGGGGGGGGGGGGCAGCATCCACAGAGACACAGCCCCGCGAAGCGCCAATAGGAGTCATCATCCAAAGCACTCGCCCATTCACTCGTGCCGCTCGCACTCCGGCGACCAGTCGCTACTGCCGTGGTTAGGGGCCACACATCGAGTGCGTACGCAAGAATCTGTCAAAACTTGACCCATCCCCCCCCCCTCCCTGTACGCACGCGAACTTTTTACCCCCCCCCCCCCCCTCCGAATCCTAGAGCGGCCCATATTTAATCCACGCAGAAATGATCAAGGATGAATAACATTAACGCGTTTAAGCAAACAGATAGTCCACCGCCGGCTACATTAAAGAATTACGTCGCGTGCCCTGGCCACTGATGTTGTTGAGCTGCGTAACAGCTGCAGTCAGGGGCACGGTGGCACACGAGTGACCTCTCCCAGTCCCACTTCTCCCGGCAGTACTTGTCTCACAACTGAAGAAACTCAACTGTGGCTCATTTGAAGGCCGATGTAGACAAATTATTATCGAGGCTTCACCCCCCCCCCCCCGTTTCCTATGTGTACATTGTGAGTAGACCCCCCATACGCAAGCGTACACATTTGGGTTACCTCCCCCTCCCCCCTCCATGCGTACGTACGAGATGGATGGCCCCACGCTGCTGTTACCGTGAACTTTATTCATCGAGTCTCCCCACCACTCGTGTCGAGGCCTCGGTCGCGACCAGTCACCGACCGTCGCGTCTCGTCCTCGCCGTGCTTTCAATCGCCGTCACGAGCAAATCCTCTCGCCGCTTGCGCCCTCACACTGCTCCACACTTTGGCGTTTTCTCCCCATCGCCTCTCTTGCCTCCCCCGCACCGCCTCGCGGCGGCAATGGACAAAGTCCTCGTCCAGCAGCAGGTCGACGCGAGCGTGAAGCGCGCGGCTCGTGCACAGAGCGGACACGGCTCCATTTGGTGGCCCCGGAGTCAGTGACAGGACCGCGACTTTGCGATGTTCAGGGGCCCAGGTCCACCGAGAGGAGACCGACAACCATCGTCGACGACGCGTCGTCGTGTTGCGCACAGCACTAGGACAATGCCGTGCGAGCCAGACACGCGAGCCGACACCGTGGCTCTTTTGTAAAACATTGAATTTGAATAGCAGTCAATTGAAGTCGATGAATTGATGTCAAATGTATCATCTATTGGGGTCAATGACTATTGGGGTCAATGACTACCCCCCCACACCCCTCCTCGAGAAGGCGGGAAACCCCAGGCAAGCCCCGCCCAACAAGACGCGGCTCGCGGTGCCGATCACATCAAGGCCCGCCCATCACCTCCCGTCCAGCGGCACACCCCAATTATTTTCGTGTTCTCCGATTGTGACCAAACGGAGTAATCCATTACTTAAATAATCACGTGTCCCAACTCTTCATCGTACACAGGTGACTGAGCGTGTAGGCTAGCGGCGTCATTGAAGCAACTGCATTTTAATGCCACGCAATCCACAACACACGCAGGCGCGTCGTATAGATTAAGATGTATTCAGCCAATGAGTATTGATATATATACACACACGTGGGAGGAGACCGGAGCACCCTGAGAAAACCCGGCGTGCGAGGGGGCGGCACTCGATCCCCCGTGCAGATGGGAGACGGGTGGATTCGGCACGCGGCCGTACAGCCTTCTCCTGGCGAGCCACCGTAGCGGGCTCCTCCTCGACGTCGTGGTGGTGAATGAAGGGACTTTCACAACATTTGTGGGGTGACCCGTCAACCCTCGCTGTTGCCTCCACGGCGCTGGATATCAGGCAGCAGCCACGCGCGGCGTAGCCACCACTTCCCGGGGGGGGGGGGGGTCTGACACGAAACTGCCTGCTTTGTCCATCATCATCATCAGCAGTTATTGCACCATGTATCACAGAAGCGTCCTGCCTAGGCATCAGATGAGATTGGCGAATTTTACATGAAAATGTACAGCACAGTGTAAGGGAATAGTAAACAGAACCGCAAACGCTGTGATATCGAGTGTAACAAAAAGTGTTCAATGCAAAGAAAGGCAGTAATCAAGTCACATGGATGTGAAAGCTGGGCTCTGGTGATGACACACAGACACGCACACTCGGGCAAATACACACAGCCATATGCACACGAAGTGATACACGCACAGATACACAAATAAACACTGGGAGCGACACACACAGCCACACAGAGGGACAGACACCCACAGAGATACACTCCGATACAAACAGAGACAGGCACACTGAAAGATAAAGATCACCCATGTAGCCTCAACAGAGAGTTGGAGGCAAGTGCTGTGAGCACACGGGGGGTGGGTGGCCAGTGGCGACATTTACACATCGCCACTGGTGATGGCTGCGAGCAGGAATCGAAATTGGGTCGCAGTCTGCGAACCACTTCGCTTCCGCTCCACCACCGACACACACAAACACACGGACGGATAGACGCGCGTGCACGCACACACACACAGAGAAGCACAACACACACGCGCGCTCAGACGCATGCACACGCAGTCCCTGCAGGTGAATGAGTGAACCGCTCGCACAAAATTCGTTCACTTACAAGTCATCTGCCGATCACGTCAATCGACATTTCTCTCCCACACGACCAATGAACCATCCGCTCCAACGTCGCAAATCAAACGGACGACCACGCATGCGATCCACAAACCCATTTAGATCGAGCATCTCCCTCGAGATATGACGATGATCACAACAACAATAACAATTATTATTACCATTGTTCCCCCGAGCCTAAACGCCAACTTGAACTCTTTGTATTCGCGTCGCAAATCTCATTTTTAAGGACCGATCATTGCACTTAAAAGTTTTGCTTTAACGCAACAGCCACTTGCCCACTGCTACCAAACCGTTAAAACCATAAACATCTAAAAACCAGACCCTGGCGGCGGGGGTTGTGCTATCATGCCCAAAGCGAGAGACGGCACCGCCTGCATTGTGGGGGCTCGTTCCGAGCGTGCGGCCGCGTGCCCGGCACACCGGGTTGGGGCTCGGGCACGGAGCGCGGAGCGAGGACGAACGGGATCCCAGGGCGCTCTGGGCACGACCGTGGGTCAGGAATGACGTAAAAGGGAGCAGACTTTTCCTTCAAGTCAAGAGTTGGGATCCGGCCGGTTCTGTTCAAATCAAGGCTGATGGCGACACGGCGTGAACCAATACGTCATAACTCACGAGTTGTTATTATAAACTCATCCATTGGTCCCCTGCTCCTGTCGTGCTTAGTCCCTGCCTGCATCTCCCTACTCGCCTGTCTCCCTACTCGTCTGTCTCCCCCTCCTCCCTGTCTCTGCCACTGTCCGTATCTCCCGAACGAATCCCTCTACACCAACATCTCACCGCCCCCGGGGCCCCGTGGACTTTTAACGTCGTGCCGACGCTAAAAGTCCACGTTACGGATCCCCTCCGCATGAACGTGGCCCTTTATCCGCGTTTCCAACTGAACCTTATGTACATCGCTACACGTCAGAGGGACAGACATGTTCACGCGCGAGTAGCATCGTCTATAGTATAGTGCTGCGTCCATCCCACTTAGCCTCCTGTACATGACAGCTCCACTTCCTCATGCGCAGTGGCAATTCTAGGACCCAGTAATGGGGGCAATGGGGGCGAGTAACCACCTGATATGGGGTTTTGGGGCAAACTCCACTGCAAGGGGGATGAGACGTCTGTGGTGGTGGTGGCGGCGGCAACATCGTCAAGGATCTGACTCTAAATGGGGCGGGGGGGGGGCACACTGGGTGTTGGGAGGGGGGGCAGTGCTGCTCATTCGGGCCCCCGATAGAATTGCCACGGCTCACAGAGCACGGCTCACAGAACACGCGCTCCCAGCTTTCACAACTCCACCCATCTCAGTGGGAATAAAACGATAAGTATTGCACGCTCAGACACGTATGATATAACGCCGCTCCGACGCATTGGAGCCGGCACTCCGACAAGTCCCTTTAGCGAAACGACGGCGCGCGCCCGTCAAATAAACACCACGACGATGACGACGACGACGACGACAGCGACGGGAAACCCGCCAAGCTGGGGGAGGCCACCGGCTGCTGCACCAGGCCGGGGCGTCCCTCGCGCGTAATTACGAGTAGACAGCACTTGCTCGCTAATGAGAAAGGCTGCGCAAAACTTCGGCATGGCAGCTACGATCGCTGGGCCGGTGTGTGTGCGTGCGTGTACGGTCAAGTTGTGAGTCACGGTAGAGCTCGCGTGCAGTTTCTCTGCGCCAATATTCGCAAATATCCGCCGTGAAATAAATTCGACACACGTACATACATGTTTAGTTGGGGCGGCTTTGCGTGAGAATTCGCCGTTCCATTTTGCAACAGGTGACTCGGCTCCCGGTTTTGTGGCTCACCGACCCAGCCGTCGGTGACCCGGTGCGTGTGTGCGTGCGTTCTTGTGTGTGCGTGTGCGTTTATTTTGTCATCTCCTCCCAGCGATGCCAGGTCGGTGCCTTTCCCAGCAGCAGATAAATAAAAATAAAATAAAAAAATCACTCACGACCAGCATACCATAATTTTTTAAAACGATAAAAAAATGTTTAACAAACAATTGGGAATTATCTCTCCTGTCCCATCTTAGCCCGTCAACGGGGGAATTATGTTAGGAAACAGCTGCTGGGTGGCTCTGGGTGGTTCAGGGTGGCCCACTGGAGACCCACCGAGCTCCCACCGGATTTCAGCCGCCTGCGTGGAAACGGTCGTCAAGTGTGGGGAGTTGACGCGTTCACCGAAAAGATCAATTTGCGTCAACATTTTTTGGTTTCAATTCAGAAAATTTCAGCTTTAGGTTTTCCAAACACGACGACTGCTGGCGACAGGGCAGGAGGGAGCGCCGCCTGGCACGGGCGAGGGGGCAATCGAAGGGATTTCAAGTTTATTTGTTTGACCAAACGAGACCCTACGCGACGAGGACGGTCTCATTCGCACGAGCGACCTGGGTGACTTCACGTGAAGCCGCGTGACTTCATCCTCCGCGGCTGTTCTGCTCTGCGGCGCGACGTTGCTCTGCTCGCCGCCAGAGTTCCGCATGGAAACGCCTCGACGTGACGCCGATGCCACGACAACTGGAATATAATTGGGCGTAAAAAAGAACCGCATGCCCACCGCACCCCCTCCGCCGATCGCGCGAAGTACGGGGCAACCGTGGGTTACAGGGAGACACCGCCGGCGAGGCAGGGCCAGCAGCGTTCTGTCCGGCACGACGCGGTGGCGCATCATCAAGTGGCCACGCGGCCATCACGTGGCCACGCGGCCACGCTCGCCGCCGTCCCCGCCGCTGCCGCCGCCGCTGCCGCCACCGCCTGCAGTGCCACCGCCGCGCTCTGCCTGCAGGCTGGCGTGGCAAGCTTGGCACACCCGGACCGGCGACATCAGCTTCAGCCGCCGGATCTCCGACTGGTACTTGCTGCACCTGCGTGGGGAACACGGCAAGCAGTGAATCGTCACGTTTTTGTTATGAAGAAATGTTGAAAGCGTTGATGCATGAGCTCTGTCTGTAACTGGGGGGTGGGGGGGGCGAGATAACTCTCATAATGCTGATCCGGTGTGAACACAATTAGAGTATAAAGCTGTGCTGCTCTTCGGGCCCTACACCAGAGCAAACAAGGAATATTTGCAAATATATAATTGTCCTTCTATATTTTGAACGCAACCACAAGCTAGCTTGGTGGTTCTTCTGGCTGTATTGGTACGTGGTTGACTGGGTGGCTAGGTGGCTGGGTGGGAGGTTGTGTGGGTACGTGGCTGACTGGGTGGGTGGCTAGGTGGCTGGGTGGGAGGTTGTGTGGGTACGTGGCTGGCTGGCTGGCTGGGTGGCTAGGTGGCTGGGTGGGAGGTTGTGTGGGTACGTGGCTGACTGGGTGGGTGGCTAGGTGGCTGGGTGGGAGGTTGTGTGGGTACGTGGCTGGCCGGGTGGCTGCTTGGTTCGTTGCGTGACCAGCTGGCTTGGGTGGGTGCCCAACCTCTGGCAGAAGAGCTGCCCGCAGTTGCGGCAGTGGTGCCGGCGCTCGGTGATGGAGAAGCGCGTGGCGCAGGCGGCGCACGCGTCGCCGCCCTCGTCGCGCACCCAGTGGTCGGCGGCCGTGCGGCCGGGGCTCTCGCTCACGGCCCAACTGAACACGCGGCCTCGCGCGTCGCCCACCAGCACGCGGCTCTGGTCCCTGCGCACGCCGATCGTCAACCGCCACCATTCGCCGGGTAAGCGCCGGCGGTGTCGCCGCGGTGCTTGCGCCGGGCTAGGCGTGCGCTCTTGAGGCCGTCACGAGACGAGACTCGGGTGCCCGTGGGTTGACTGACCGAGATGATTGGCAGATATGCACAACCTGTGCTGCCCACTGTGTCGACACCCACGCGACAAAGACCCCCCGTGTAGTCGAAATCGGCTGTTCGGGGAAGTGCTGCGAGCGAGCACGGCACGCAATGGAGTGGTTGGTCAGGACCACATGAGGTCCTCATGTCGACAATAAGCAGTTCGCCAACCACTTCACTACCGTTCCACACACGCACACGTGCACACACAACACAACGATAAAAGCGAAAATTGCATTGGAGCTGGGACGATGGGTCAATGCAAAGGCTAAATGCGCAGCCCTGCAATAACCTGCTCACGCCACTGCTGACAGACGTGCTCCCACTCGAAATCTGACACAATTTGTCCAAATTGCGGCCGCTCGAAGGAAAGTGACATGCAGGAAGGATCGGACGTGCGGCATCGCGTCACGGTGGGTGGGACTGCGCGCGCGCGCTCACTTGGAGATGGTGAGGGCGGTGACCTCGGCCGGCTGAGCGTTGTCCTTGCGGTCGAACGCCGTGTGCATCGTGAGCCTCCCGCACAGCACCAGTTGCCGCTCCCAGCAGAAACCTGCAAGTGGCACAGCCGCGTCAATGACCATCGTGCCGTGCCATTTCCATGTGCCTGCTATGGTGTTAGAGACGCGTCATAATCCAGCACTGTGGAAGCAGCGAGGCTTCGCGGATCACGCAAATGTTGCGAGACTCCCTTCCCGTGAGCGTCGAGGAGGAGCCATATCCTGGCTCGCCAGAAGGCCAACCCAGCTATGCCACTGGATACTCAAGTGCGAATTAACGTATAAACAAAAACATTTATGAAATACCGAATCAACGAGGAACTCAACGAACAAAAGAAAGACCAAATAGACAAATGACCGAACGAACGGACAAACGAATGAACGAGGTGCCGAGACCGGCACGAGTGCACGCTCACCCGACTTCAGCTTGCTCGCCGGGCTCTGCGTTTCCGGCGGAGGCTGCGGCTGTGATTGCGCCAGCGCCTGGTTTTCAGGAGAGGCCTCGGAGCTCGCCTGGGAGCTGGCGCGGGAGCGCGCAGGGTCTGCGGGGCGGCCCAGGGCGGCGCCGTCGCCGTAGCTCACCAGCACGTAGCCGTCGCTCTCCTCCACGCTCAGGTTCTGGGACCAGCGCTTGGGGTCGTCCGAGGCCGGGACTGAGTTCCGCACAGAACGCTCCGTTTAAGGCCATCGCATCCGAGCACAAAGGCTTACGGCAGGTGCTGTAATGAATTAGTTGTTTCTACTGGAGCGCCTGTGATGCTGGGGCATCTACACCATGACGTACATCTCATCTCAAACATTCGAAAGGGCTCCCCCCAGTGGCAGCTGTGCATGTGTAGAACAAGGTGACTCAAGATCTGACATTAGTCTGCCTGCCAGTAGAGGGTGATGATTGTTACAAGTGAGCACAATTGAGTACTGTAATTTGTGGGTATATTTTTCAAATTTGGCAAATAGGGATTGGCACACAATGGCCTACTTGTTTTGAATTACATCACAGGAACTGTAACGTTCACTTTGAAGCAGACGGCGCCTAGTATTTTATGGTAAACTAGCTGTACTACCCGGCTTCGCCCGGGACTTGGATCCACCACGCCTCGGCCGCCTTTGTCTCCCCAGTGGCGATGTTCACACACCACACCAGTTACTCGTTTGAGGCTGAGTCGACCTAGGTGAGGCCCAGGAGCGGTTTAAATATTCGTTACCAGTGGTGGCCGTGAGCGGGAATCGAACTCGGGTCGCCGGGTTCGTAGCGCGGTGCGCTAACCACTACACTACAATGCGTGACGCTTCCACATGCGCGGGTCACGTGACAGATTTGACGTCACAGCTCACTTGCCGTGCAAAAAATATCAGCATTATTGAGCTCCCCCCCCCCCCCCAAAAAAGTGTATTTTTAGAATTTGTGCATGGTGTACAGTCTGAAAAGTACCCACATGGCAAATTTCCAGTTTGTTGCATGTCGGGAAGTACGCTAAACATTTTGAACAGACACACATATTCACAACTTTGCCTTTAAAATATATGGTAAATATACCTGGGTTAGATAACAATAGCTTGGTCACATAGTTAAGTGGTCTAACCCAAACATCCATGATTAATCACACGGATCCGATTCTTGATGGCGCGCGCGTGCGTGCAGCTATGTGAATGGCGAGCGACCCGTTGCCACAGGGAGCGCTGCAAGCGGTGGACACGCACCCTTCGCGTCGCCCGTGCTCCAGGGCGCGCTGTGCCGCTCCGTGCCGCGTGGTTGCCGTGGCGATGCCGAGCGGTTGCTGCGGGCGTCCGCGGAGCTGCTGCACTCGTCCCCCTCGGACTCGCTGCTCTCATCATCTGCACCGTCCGTCACTGCCGGGGGGGGGTACGGGGGGGAGGGGGGGTAAATGGGGGAGAGGAAAGAGCAAGAGGACATCCTAAATAAAACCATCATCTCATCCAAAAATTAACCCCCCTCTCACCGATAGTGCACCCCCGTCTCACCGATACGAGACCCTGGTCTCACCGATACCGGACCCCGTCTTACCCATACAGTGCCCCTCCATCTCACCGATAGGCTGCAGTGTGGAGGGCAGCGGCTGCCTCTCCGAGAGCCTCGTCTCGTCCTGTGCGATGATTTCTGGAACTTGGACAAACTTCATGCGCCACATCTGCGCACAACAGGCACGTGCACACAAATGACTCATATCGCCGCCCCAGCTGACTTCGCCGATCCAAGGTCAACTGAGTATACGTATGCTTATAAGGGGGAGTAGTGGTGCAGCGGTTAGCGCACCATGCGAGGACCACGGCATCTGACTTTGATTCCCAGGCCGACACAACCTTTAATGGGTACCTGGCAAGGTGTGGAAGATCAGCGCTGGGGAGACCGCACATTGTGCCTAGCCTTGCGCAGGTGCTGTGGCTACGTCACCGCCACCCGGTAGCGAATGGCGGACGCTGTTGTTGTGCGAGTTGAGTCTCGGTAACGTCAATAACCTGGTTAACATCGCGGGTTTATTCACCACAAAGAGGTGCCATGCGCCATCTGTATCACTGTATCTGTATCACAGTGGATGTTAAAGACCCTGTGATGCGAATGGCAAGAATAGGCCATTGGGTTCCAGTGTCACGGTCCAATTGGTCAAAAGTAAAAAATCATGCAGTAGATCACTCAATTGGAATCTACTATGCAATCATTGCTCCCTCCTGCAGGACCCTCCTGCAAAAGAGTCATGAGACTCAGCGAGTCTTTCCCAAGTAAAAATAACAATAATGCCGTCACAGGGCGCAAAGTGACGGGGGCGGGGTGGAGGTGGTGGCGACTCACGCGCACGACCCCGTCCGAGTGGCCCGTGACGATGACGTTGTGCGGGTCCCACTCGCTTGTCTCGGACACGCAGCAGCACAGGATGTGCTGGCTGCGTCCACCCGCGCACGTGTTCACGCTCGCCACGGGGTCGCCGTTGATGCTCCACACAAACGCGTGCGTGCCGGCGCACGACACGATGTCTCCCTGCCACGTGGGGGGAGGAAGAGGATACAGGAATGCACGCGCACACAGTGCAATAAGCGTGACGCACACTGCAACAAGCTTGACGCACACTGCAACGAGCACGTCACCGTCTATGGGAATGGTGCGAGTCGGTGGGCCCTCAACGCGTGCTGACCCCCCGCCCTGCGTACGTGACAGGACAGCGTGCGTGCATGTCGGCCGTGGGGGGGGCGGCACTCACGGTGAGCTCGTTGATGCAGAGCGCCGACACGGGGGCCCGATGGCCCCGCAGCTGCGTGACGAAGGTCAGCTTGTTGAGGTCCCACACGCAGCACGTCTGGTCGCGCGAGCCGCTCACCACGATGTGGTAGGCGGGCGACGCGGCCAGGCACGTGACAGCGTCCGTGTGGCCATACAGCGGCTGTGGGCGACAAGTGGGGACGAGTGGCCGGGGTTAACGGCCTCACTCAAAACTGCAAAACCTCTCTCAGCGTCCGGCAACCTCTCCAGTGCTGATGTTGACACACCACACCAGGTACTCAATTCGGGACAAACCGTACTTGGTGGAGGCACAGGAGAGGTTCAGATTTCACTCGTGGCTGGAAACTGAACCTGGGTGGCTTCGTAACGCAGTGTGCGTACCAGTGCGTCACCATTTCCCCACCCCATCCCCCATATGTCCATGAAGCCACATGCAAAGGCAAAGATTCTTCCTATAGCCTAAACAATCCGTTAGGAAAAGTGTGTCCGTGTTTGTACCCGTGCGCCCGTGTGTGTACCCGTGTGCGTGTCCATGTGCGTGTCCGTGTACCCGCCCATGTACCCGACCGTGTACCCGCCCGTGTACCCGTGTGCGTGTACCCGTGTGCGTGTACCCGTGTGCGTGTACCCGTGTGCGTGTACCCGTGTGCGTGTACCCGTGTGCGTGTACCCGTGTGCGTGTACCCGTGTGCGTGTACCCGTGTGCGTGTACCCGTGTGCGTGTACCCGTGTGCGTGTACCCGTGTGCGTGTACCCGTGTGCGTGTACCCGTGTGCGTGTACCCGTGTGCGTGTACCCGTGTGCGTGTACCCGTGTGCGTGTACCCGTGTGCGTGTACCCGTGTGCGTGTACCCGTGTGCGTGTACCCGTGTGCGTGTACCTGTGCGCGTGTACCTGTGTGCGTGTACCTGTGTGCGTGTACCCGCCCGTGTACCCGTGTGCGTGTACCCGTGTGCGTGTACCCGTGTGCGTGTACCCGTGTGCGTGTACCCGTGTGGGTGTACCCGTGTGCGTGTACCCGTGTGCGTGTACCCGTGTGCGTGTACCCGTGTGCGTGTACCCGTGTGCGTGTACCCGTGTGCGTGTACCCGTGTGCGTGTACCCGTGTGCGTGCCCACCTGTCTGAGCGTGAGGCGGGCGCGCTCCTTGGTGCCACCCTGCTCCAGCTGCCACACGCACACCACCGTGCTGCTGCCCCCCGTGACCACAAGGCGCGGGTTGGGGCACACGGCGCACAGCACGTGGCCCCACTCCCACAGGCACTCAAACACCACGCAGCACTGGCACGCGGTGGTGGGGGGGGGGACACAGGAGGGAAACACGTGGGGGAACAGAAATATTTTCATTTGAGAAAAGAAGTTGGTGAAGATGGCGAGCATAGACATTGGATAGTAGTGAAGAGGTGTAATTGCACATGGCTACGAATGTTGAGGCGTGATTATGCATGGCCACGGATGGCCAACAAACACAAGGGGCGGGGTTACGGCCGTACACAAGGGTGGCGCTCGCACCGACGTCCGCATGTGTATCCCCCACGGGCCCCCCCTTGGGGGCAAGTCCTATAAAAGGTGATGAGCCGAAAGGCTCGGGAGTCGGGACTCAGCTTTAACCAGAGAAGAACGAAGACCTGCTAGTATAGGCCCCGGAGCTCCCCTGGCTCGCTGTCCTTCTAAGGGCCGACCAGGGCAAGCCGGTGGCGTGGCCCCGAGAGCCCAGACGAAGCTGGTCTGGTGACTCAGGGAGCCGGGATCCCAGCTTAACCAAGCTGGGACAGATAGCCTCCCCTAGTCCCGTAGTGGAGGAGTTGGTATAGGCTAGAGGGGTTAGCTGTCGAGAAATCCCTGTAGCCAAGTGACCTGTAATAACTGTGTTGGTGTAATAAATAAGTGTGCCTCCGATCCTGTCGTCAAGCCTCCATATATACTTACTACAGTAGTACAGGGGTAAGAAAGAATGCGGGTGATGGGGCAGGTGCAGGGTGAGAGGGTGCAGGCGATGGGGCAGGTGCAGGGGGTGGTGGTGCAGGGGGCACCTTCTCCGACTCGTAGCTGCCCAGCTTGCAGCTGAGGTCTGCGTAGCCCCAGGAGAACGTGCGGTTGAACTGCGGCGGGAGCAGTGTGCGGTTCTGCTCGGTGGCCAAGACGCCCTTGTCCGTGCAAACGATGTGACCCACAGGTTCCTTGAGCTCTGTTATTCATTCAGTCATTCATGCCATCATTCATTTGTTAAGCTGTCCATTCAGTCGACAGTTCATTCATTAAGTCCATGTGATTTAATGAAACCTCCCCTAAATCAATAATTTAGTAAATCATTTAATTAGTTCCAGTGTTTATTCGTTCAATCCTTCTTTTTTGAAGTAATTCGTTTTGTTGATAAGCCATTTAATCATTCAGGCCCCCATTCCTTCAAATAATAATGTAGTCCCTACATCCATTCATTCTTTCATATTGTTTCAGCTCACGTCATTTATAGTTGTTTCAGCTCAGCGGTAAGTGAAGAACGCTTATCAACATCGTATCGCTTACTCGGATCATGATAATTGTTCAATTTGTGTGGGGCTGTGCCAGCCGGTGGAGGGTCTTACGACACAGATTTCGTCAGATCATTTCAGCTGCCGAACCTGAAAATGTAGTATAAATCGCGCGGGTACCTTTGACGGGCGCAAGGGACGGCTTCAGGTTGTCAAGGTGATGGAAAAAGAGGCGGTCTGGGACCCCACTGCCACCCCCCGCCGTCGGGGTCGCGCCGGGGTTCTCGCCGTTTCCACGGCAACGCACGCGCTTCGGGGGGTGCGGCTTCCGGAAGAGCTACGCAAACACCGTCATCATCATCATCATTATTATCAGCACAGGCAGCTTCAACAGCATCAGTGGTAGTTTCATCATCATCAGCTTCAATCATCATCAGTAGTAGTAGTAGATTCAGCATCATCACCACCATCATCGTGAGCAGCATCATCATCATCCTCAGCAGCAATAGCTTCAGAAGCATGAACGTTTGCATGATTATTTTTCTGTGAGGTCATTAGTGACCGAGCTGAGACCATCGACTCGTTCGCTGCACTTGAGAACCCGGTGTGCTCACTGTGGTTGGATGGCCAGAACCTCGATTCGATTCCAGGTTTTCAGTGGCGCCGGCTCAGCGGCTCTGACCTCAAGGCCACCACCGCCACCTCCTCCACAAATCAGCCGACCAGAAACCAGACTGAGACCGAGCGGCGCGGGTTGAGGTCACGGTCACCTGCTTGGGGATCTGCCCGAAGTTGTTGATGAAGCCGATGGTGGCGGTCTTCTTGAGCGGGTCATTGATGTTGTAGATGTCCACCTGGCCCTCGTAGAAGAGGTGGTGGAACACGTTGACGGCCTCCACGGCGGCGGGGCCCTGCTGTTTGTAGCCGAACACCAGGTCGATCCACTCGTGCAGGTGCGCACTCACGTAGTCGCACTCCAGAGCCTGATCGATCGGGGTGGCGTGGGGATGGGGTGACACGATGGCAGGGTGACGCAGCGGCGGGCGTGACAACGGGCCGACACGGCGGGGTGTGTGACACGGCCTCTATAGAGGAGGCTCGTAAAAGATGCTACAGGGCATTTACAACAACAGCGGAGGGCAGAAGAGCAATGCTCACAACACCGAGTGGAGCGCGGGGTAGCTAAAATGCAGCTAGTTGGCACAGTGGGGGGCACAAGTGATGCATCTGCCAGTCATCTCAGTCAATCATCCCATGAGACCTGGGTCTGTCCCGTGACCTCCTGCCAGCAGGGCTTCGACACTTCACCTGACGCGCCGTAGTGACGTAACTGCCACTTCGTGGCGAACGGCGGCTTTTCTCGTTGTTGTTGGAGGAAGGATATTTACAGCGAGAGCAGTGGCATAGATGTTGAGTGTGCAGGCAGTGCAACTGCACCGGGGCCCAAGGGCCGAAGAAAGCCCAGGCGTCGGGCTGGGAAGCGGTTGTGAAATTGGACGGGGGACGGGGGGTGGCGTGGGTGGGGGGCCAATGTCACCCGCAGGACCCACCTGGCGGTGCACGCGGATGAACTCGCGCGGGTCTCCCTTGGCCCAGGCCGGGAGGAGCACGTCGCCCAGCTTGATGCCGTTCTGCTTGCAGCCTGCCAGGGCACGGATGGCGCGGAGACACGCGTCAGCTCAGTGCTGCAACGAAACTCAGCGCGGCGGCCGATGGAACACCGAGAGCGGCCGGAGCTCGCGGGGGCCTGCGGGCCGAGCACGCTCTCGCACGCCGTGCGGCTAGTGGGGGCGACCGTACCCGCGTGTTCGGTAGACAAGGAGTAGCTCGACGCGGCATTCAGAGCTGCGCGCGCGGGGGCTGCTGCCGCCTGGGATTAGGACTCTGGGAAATTATTTTATTTGCGTTAATTTAATTTAACATTTATTTATGTTTATGCACTGATTTTTATTGCCCGCATGCAGTTGTCTCTTCTCTGATTTCTATTTGGTTGCTTTTGCTCTGATTTCTATTTGTTTTTATGTTGAACTTGCGTATAACGAGAGTTTTCTCTTCTCATGTCTACGTGTCCATCCTCTTACATCTCCGTGTGCAGAGTGAGGTAATCTTCCTCCACTGCTCCCCTTTCATCGTACCCTCTCGATTTTCTCCCCCTACTTCCCCACACACTCCCTCTTCTATTCCTCCATTCCATGATCTCATCGTGAAACTCTTCGGGACCGACCCCCGTCCCCCCCCCACCAGCCTCTGAACGGGAAACCTCCTGAAATAGAGTCCCAAGACTCAACGAGGCCTTCCCGGGACAGACAAACAAACGTGCGCCGCGTAGCGACGGCGCGGCAAGTGGCCGGGTGCCGTGGGGGGGGGGGGGCGGCTGACCCAGGTCAAAGTTGTTGCTGTTGAGCAGGAACTCGGGCAGGTAGAAGAACTCGGGGATGAGCTCCTTGACGTCGGCCATGTTGTGCTTGGAGGCTGAGAACCAGGCGTCGCGCACGCTGTGGAACATGCGGTCGGCCAGGTCAAAGTGTCCTCCCTGCGCACGACGGACAGGGGAGGGGCGTGAGCGGCCGTGCTCCAAGCGGCCGGTGACACGGCTCCGCGCAAGGCAACGAGGATTGGTGGATCACACGCACGTTCGTGAAACTCCCCACTACCTGCGGTCTGCGAGATCTCCATCTCTCCTTGGCTTGCCAGGTTTTTGTGGCGGTAGAGTTTGTGGATTGAAATCCCATTCACACGTGTGGGTTTTCTCCGGGTACTACTCCAACGTATGCAAACACTCATTAATGGAGTTGGCCAAACATCCCGTTATAGGACCACAGAGCTTGGCAATTGTTGGTTTCGGCTCTGGCTGCTCTCCTGCTCGTCTGTGGTTTCCCACGCCTTGAATCTCTCTCTCTCTCTGACAGTGAACACAAACTGCGTGCCGCGTAACGCTGCTGGCAAGGCGCAGCCCTGACATTTCTTCCTCACGCCACTGGTGGCGCTATCGCGAGCTCTAGAGACCCCAACCTTTTTGGCAACATGGACCGATTTCGTGGAAGACAATTTTTTCACGGACGGACAGGGGTGGGGTTCACCATTGGGTCTTTCCCCCTTTTCAAAGAAGCTCTCCAGCGACGTTTGTTTTTTACTCATTGTGGCTAGGGGTTAGAGCTTGTGGGCTTACCAAAACTGTGACTGAGACAAGTGCGGAAAAGAGTGGTCAATAATAGAACAATGGGGGCGGGCCAAGGGCGGACTCACCGCTCACCTCCTGCTGCTGTGGGGCCCGGTTCCTAACAGGCCACGGGCCGGTACCGGTCCGTGGTCCGTGGCCCGGGGGTTGGGGACCCCTGCTCTAGAGGGCATGGCCATACGTCTTCACAGAGGTGGAAACACCCAGACTTTAATCCCTCCACAGCACTACCTGCCGATCAACTAACTCTGGCGGTAGTGGACTGAAGAAGCTTTCACTGTTGTCTCAACCGTCCCGGCTGTGAATGGAGTGAAGTAGCGTGGAGGGAGGGGGCACAAGGTGGGGACGTTGGGGGGGGGGTGCACGGGACCTGCAGGCGGAGGAAGGTCTGAGTGAATGGCTCCATGCGCAGCAGGTACGACGCAACAATCATGGCCGACGAGTAGTGCGTGCCGTAGTGGTACGCTGGCGTCTCTCCTGCACGCACGCACACACGCGGAGACGCACACATGCACGCACACGGGGACAGTCGCACGGAGAGTGTGACGACACGTGCAGCGTCACGCATGGAGTAGGTCGTGCATGCGGTGTCACGCCAGGAGTGTGGCACGTGGATTGTCACGCACGCAGTGACACACTTTGAGTATCGTGCGTGGAGGGTTGCACAAGGCGTGAGGGCTGGTGCGAGTGCTAGGGTTAGTGTTCGGGGTATGCTTATGGTTAGCGTTGGTTCTGGTGTTGGTGCTAAGGTGGGTGTGTTTGGGTTAAATGGAGGGTGAATGTGAGAGCGAGTGTTTATGCAAAGATAACCGTTAGGGTTAGGGACACGGTTCATACTGACGCTAGTGCAAGTGTTGGGGCGAGTGTTAGCGCGAGTGCGGGCTGTGTGTCTTGGCGAGGTACCGGTGGGGTCGTCCCAGTCGCGGTAGCGCTTGCGGTACTGAGCAAGCCGCTCCTCCGTCTGGGCACCCATCGGCTTGGAGAGGTCGCGGAACGTGCGTGGATTGCTCAGGTCCAGCTCCTGCGTGCACGGCGCCACAGAGGGCAACTCAACTCAACGCAGCAGCAACGAAACTCTATGCAACTCAACGCTCGTGTTACACCCGAGCGAGCGAGCGAGCGAGCGCATGGGCAATCGTGCGAGCCGGTGAGAGCGTGGGTAAGCGGGTGAGCGAGCGGTCGAGCAGGTGAGCAGGCGCGTGAGTGGGCAAGTGTGCAAATGAGCGATCAGGCAGGTGAATGGACAGGCAGCACACTTGCCGACCCCGAACAGGCTGAGGTGGCTGAATGTGTAAACCCTATGAGCGCACGCTCACTTTCTAAGTCAACATTTAAGTAAAAAAGATTGTTGTCAAAATGTTTACAAAGCACTTCGGATATCGGTGGATGGTAAATGGGTTCAGGCACTGGCAGCCTTCCGCTTACAGTGCTTGGGTTGGCAAATGTGTAGATGAGCGGGTGAGCCAGTAAATTGAGCGGGCGAGTGAGCGAACAAGTGAGTGATCCGGTGAGCGAGTGAGCGGGCGAGCATGCAAGAGAGCGGGCGGCCGAACAAGCAGGCGGGCGAGCAGGGTCACCCCACCTCGGAGTCGTAGTCGGCCAAGATCCAGGGAAAGACAGGGTACTGCATGAGGTCGTTGTAAGAGCGCCCGGCCAGCGTGTTCAGGTGCATCAGGTACTGGAAGTTGCTGATCTCTCCGCGCTGTTACAGGCGAGAGGTCAGAACGTCACGTACAGCAATGAAGCAAATAGAAATGAGAGAAAAAACAACTGTATCAAGTGAGATTATTGAAAATATTGCACGAACATAAATCAACGTAAAATAATAAAATCCCTGCAGTGAAAGTCGGTTTTGACAGAGAAACACTGAACAGAAAGAGGATGACAATTGTACGAGTGTGTAAACAGACAAGGGGATGTATCAAGTGTGGAGTGTCAGCTCACCTCCCATCGCTGAGTCACAGACTTCTCCCACAGCGTACTGAGCAAGCCGGTCCTGAAACGAGATACACAAAGATCCCCCGCGTAGCCTTAACAGACTGTCGCGACGGGTGCTGTTGGCGAGCGCCTGGGAAGGCCTGCACGGCACACGAGGGAGTAAGTGGCCAGCATAGCACGCCCGGCCGCCTTTTTCTCCCTCACGCACAACACGGTCAGCGCAACCGCCCACGGAGCCCGGCGAGAGCGGCAGGCGCAGTCACCGCCAGCTCGCATGCGCGCAGGTTTGCTTCCTTCTTCCTCGCGGCACCTTCCACCAGCGGGACGCGTCGTGGTCCAGAGATTAATCAAGTTAGGACAAAACAATGCACACACATGGATCCTGTAAGGCTTTGCAACGTGCGTTTGCCTTCACTAATATTTCGCTGCGAGGACAAAGCACATTTGCATATTTGCGAAGAGTTCTGGCTCGACTCGCGAGGTTTTTTGACAGTGCTTTAATAAATGTCGCCGAAAACTCTGCGGCAAGTCCCTGACCCAACCCCGCAAGTTTACACTAAAGGTTTATTCATTTGTTTAAACAGTAAACCTTGGACTGGTTTTGACTTCAATCTCATCAGCAGGGTCGTCTGGTATTACAGGCGAATGCGGTGGTGAGGTGCACGTTGCTGGTGACTGCTCCAATACAACTATGCGTACCCTGGTGGAACAAGCAGTCTCCACTCAGCTAGCCTGGTTGCCGTGGAATGGCTGACAACGTTAAACGTACAATTGTAGCCCGATTGTCGCTTTTTTTTTCAAGCTCCGTGAAAAGATTAGGAGAGGAATCGGCAGGCACCCTTCCAAGAACAGTGGGGGACCCCCCCCCCCTGGGAACACGTTTTGCAAGGAATCATGTCTACATTAACCACACATTACTTGTGGTGAAATATAAGCATTGTCTTTGAAACTAATTGGTCCACACCAGAAACAGCGATCTTCAGAGCCTGGTATGTGTGGTTAATGCAGACATGATTCCTTGCAAAAGGTTTCTGTTTGGGGCGGTCACATCTGCCAGAAAGAGTCAACCTATTCTTATACTTTGAAACTGGCAAGAAAGGTCCCGTGAAAATGAAGATCATTGCAACATATTTACACAACTTTAAAATCGGTCGCAAAATTAAATTCCTTTCTCTTGCACGCTGTGAACTACAACCGGGCTTTGCTGGGAAATAGTTAATTAAGAAAAGGGATCGGGTTTCATCGTGGTGTGTTTTTCCCCCCCCCCCAGGAGATGCCAGGCACTCAATCCTCCGAGCACGGCGACAATGCATTATTGAGCGGCGCTAATCAGGCTGGCAGATAGGGGCTCTGGTTTCTGACGGAAGCCAGGTCCCCACCTCCTCCGTGCGATCGCTCGCCGCCCGCCCGTCACGAACAATCACAGGCGGCACCCTGCGCGAGCTGTTTGTCATAACTCACGCTTCTCTGAAAAGGCCCGGCAGCAGGGCGTAGGCCGGGCCCAATCGCCAATACCACAGAGACATGGCAAACAAAACCGCGAGCCCGTGCCACACGCTCGCCGCGTGAGATTACACTGCATATTTAAACGCGGTCACGTACGCCGTTCTGCGTTACAGGCCCCGGTACACGACGGACGCGCTTTGTGCACCGCGGACTGAATGACGCAAGAGATTCATTCTTAAGCTCACGACACGTGCGTCCAATCGTTGACGCAAGAAACAACGTTTGGCAGCACAAGGGCCTGCAGTAAAATCCATTGTTGTAGTGCACTATGCTTAATTGTCTATGCCCACAAACCCGCATGAATCGTAAGGCGTGGGCCCTCATCCAGTAGTGGATTCATAAAAAAGGCTGTACATGTACACAAAGTATGAGGATACTTTTTTAAAACACACACAGTTGGCCCAAGGACCCAATATGTCAAGCAGCCAGCAACAAACAGCACTAATTTCAAGATAGTAATAGATAAGAGTGTAACACGTCTTAAATTGAGCAAAGTTATTATGGAGAAAGAGGCGATGTGGGAAGAAGCAGAAATAGAAGTGTTGTTACCCTGAAGTGTGGCGAGTGAGTGGGTGAGTTAGTGAGTGTTGTTGTGACCTGCAGTGGTGAGTGAGTTAATGAGTTAGTGAGTTTTGTTGTTACCTGCAGTGTGGTGAGTGAGTGGGTGAGTTAGTGAGTGTTGTGACCTGCAGTGTGGGGCTTAAACACGGTGTGGATAAGAGACGAAACCAGTGAGTGTCTGATGGACAGAGTCCTTGACATTGGTGTAGGAATCAATGAGTGAAGTTCACGGGAACGTAAACCATGGTAGTAGCTATAGAAGAGTGACAAGGCAGCGACTGCCCACCGATGAGCGAGCGACTTGAGTGAAATGGGAAACCATAGGATGCCTTTTGGAGGGCAAAGTGTTTCAAAATAAGTTCTCCATCAACACGCATCACCCTATTAACCCCACCACTCACCCCGGTGGTGACACCTGACCTCAGGTCAAGGAGGGCAGCTCAGGTGTGCCTCCAATTACATCTCATTACTAGGAATTTGCACTGTGCCTCCAGGGCCGCGGAAGAAATGGGGCCCCCACTGCATTTTACGTCCTAGCAACGGGCCCACAACAAGGCCAGGGAGAAGGAACAAAAACACATGCGCACGCACGCGTACCCGCACGTACGCACACACACACAGACGTATGCACACACAGAAAAAACCCCACATGCAGCCTCCGCTTATCTGCCCACCGATTGTGTAAACGAACGCCGCCGCCCGAGCGCACGCTCGCTCAGCGGCTCGTCGCTTGGTGCGAGCGAGCGAGCGAACGAGTGAACCTGTGCGTTGCTAAATGCACGCGCATCTACGAACGTGCCAGTAAAGCACCACGGGCCAGGGGGCTCAGCAGTGGAGCGAGGAGTTCGCGATAAAAGAGTTCAGATCACGTGAAGGGGCTGACTCAGCCCATCATACCTCTATGGTAGATACATTGAGTACCAGTTTCTGGGGAAGTTAAGAGTGCTTGTTCTATGGATAGACTCGCTCGCCCACCATGGCAATGTTTAATTTACACCACTGTCTCTGCAGGGCTGTAAACAGGAGATGACCTCTTTAACGGTACCAGAAATAATGAAGGCTTCACCACGACATATCAGTCATGGGAATTTTTTTTAACCATACTTCACCATGCGTGTTGGTGAACGATGGGGGCATCGACTCAAAACTCGAGTTACCTGGCTGTTAGCACGGTGAAAATAACCACTGTGTCTTTGCTGCTTGTGTATTCGTGTGCATTCCCTGGCCCATTTGTGTTGCCAGTCCACGTGTAAGGTCTGCCCCGGTGGGTGCACAAATATTCACCTTGTCAGAAGCTGTCACAATTCGCAATTTGTGAACAAAAACCCGATCACGTTGTGTTCTTGCATACAATGGCAGCAATGTGTTTCAGGAGCTAAATGCCAATGTCGAGGTCTGCTGGCGACGACGAGAGGGCTTCAGGGCAGAAAGTTCGTGTCATTTTGCGATTTCTCTGTTGAAGGAGCAGAGACTACACAGTGGTTTACTATATGGTCGGCAGTCAACCACAACTGCGTTGTGCGAGCTGGAAGTCTCTAATCGTGGGGCGTAACGACTTAGGGTTTATCACTGATGCACAAAAGCGGACGCAAGCGGTGGTGATGTGTGATCGAAGGCTCGGTGTTCACTTTGTTTAAACACTGCATTTAAAAACATTTCTGATGGAGGGGGAAAGCTGAGACAGGAATGAAAATGAACTCTGTGTATTCTGTTTAAATAGTTTCTAACATCGTATCCGATCTCTTAAGGAAGCTGCCCAAAGTCAGGGTGGAGATTAAGCGAGACCTGGTCGTGCGTGTGTAGATGTCTTTGTGTGTCTGTCTGTCTGTCTACGTACACAGTGGGGACTGCACTACGAACTCTGGCGACCTCAGTTTGATTCGGGGACGATTATCTGAACAGGTCCTGGGTATCCCCTAGGTCGATTCAGCCCCAAATAAGAACCTGGTGCAGTGTGTAAACATCACCGCGAGGGAGACAAAGACGGCCAGGCATGGTGCCGGCCACCCACCCGCTGGTGTGACGTGTCGGCCTTAATAGGTGTTCGCTAACAGCAATTGCCCCAACAGAGGCTGTACGGGTGATCATTGTATGCGTGTGTATGTGCTTGTGTGTGCACTTACGTCAATGTGTGTGAACGTATGTGCTGGTGTGCGTAAGTGTGTGTGTGGCAGCGCGAGTTCACTGTTGGGGGTGGGGGGGATGACAGAGGAGAGCAGGGGTGGAAGCTGCCCATGTGACCACTGTTTGTTCCCAACCGCCCCCCTCTGGTAATAAACCACCTCCACCAAACACATCGCTGGCAACTGGTTGTCGTGCGGGCAGGCGAGCGGGCGTGGACGAGCAGGGCAGACGGGGGTGGGCGATAAAGGTGGGACACATCGACGGCGCATCGAGGCCAGAACCGTGCGCCGCCAGCCTTGTGAGTGACATTGGAGAAGCGCTCGCGAAGACTCAAACCAGCACAGGCGTGGGACACGCAGCCCGGTGAGTGGCATTCCCTCGCACGGTCACGCACGCTCACTCGCTACAACGATCCATCGCGTCGCACAATCTGAGCAACGTCGCAAACATTATTCGCGTGTCGTTACAAATGAGACTAAAGCGAGACAGGAGTTTGCCGATGTCAATTGGCAAACTCTCAAATTGGCACCGGCTGACGCTGGCTAAAGAAGTCAGCCAAAGGTGTAGCGATGCGATTGTGTCGAGTCACAGCTGTGAGTAATGCTTAAAATTACTCGGCGGGATTCCGTGCGGTTGAGTTCTTCCGAGCTTCTCATCAGTGTCTGGTGTTGCCCTGACACTGAACAACGGTAGAGAAAGATCCCCCTGTGGAGCCTTTCAGACTGTCGGGGCAACTGCTGTTAGCAAGCGCCTATTAAGGCTGGCAGAGTACACAAGGAGGTGCGCGCTGTGGCCAGCACCGTGCCTGGCCACCTCTGTATGCTCAGTGCTAATGTTTACATACCACGCCAGGTACTCGTTTAAGACTGCGGTGACCTAGCGAGGGCCAGGACCAGTTCAGATAACCGCAACTCATGTTGGTCGTGGCCGAGTCCATATTGCAGTGAGCTGAGCACAATGTCAGTATGTGTGTAGATACCGATATACGCATATTTACACACATAATCACAGGGAATACATAAAACATCCTGACGTGTACATAAAATACATGTACCAACTACAAACTACACGTCGTCAGTAACACATAATCGTACGTGATATGCACACTTCCATGTGCGTCACGTAAACACAAACTTTATGTACCGGGTACACGAGTGTAAGGAGATCCCACGTTTATAAACAAAACCGTGGTTTTGCTTGGCTTTAGCTGCATGGGTCCACAGTGCAAACAGCTTAGCCGGACATTTTTCAGCAGCTTTCCCATAAGAAAAACATCCCCCGCCCTGTCCCCCCCCCCCCCCCGCGACCAACGCAACAAAGAAAATCCGTCCCCTTTTATTGGCCCTTTCTTGCGCTGTCAACCAGCAGTGAATGCCCAACGCAGTCTCTATAGCTACAGGGCCCACCGCCCGTGCCACGGCCACGCACAGAGGGCTTCGCTGTGCGGCAGATCCGTTCCGGCGTCGAGTGCGGCCCCTGAAGGAGTGTGGCGACTCTGGGTGGTTGCACGGCCAAGCGGTAGCATGGCGGGGGGGGGGGGGGTCGATCGCTCCCTTTCCTTGGGAACCAGAAAATTGGTGCCTTATTGACGTCAAGCAGAGAAGACACGTTGAATGTTTTCTTTGGTAAACTAGGGCACCTATTTAAAATGCATTGAAATTACGCGACCACCTCCACCCCCCCCCCCCCCCACGGGGAAGTGTTAGGATCCTTCTCTAGGCAGCAGGTTTTGTTATTTGTTGCAGAGGATTTCAGTTCAGGCCCTGGAGCCACCCTGGTTGATACCGCGGGTGCATCAATCAGTAATACGAGCCGTCTGCTTCACAGTGGACATTACAGTTCCGGTGATATCATTCAAAAGCGAGTAGGCCGAGTGTGCCGGGGGGCACCTTGCTCCACAATTGAAAACAAAAAAAACTCCTTAACTCTGAAAACCACGTGCAAACATTCTCCCTGAGCATCCACAAAAAAACGATAACAAAGCTGTTCAGCTTTAACTCACACAAGTTACATTTTCACATTGTGGGCATAACTCAAGCGGTGATGGGAAGCAGCCCTGCAGCACCTGTAGTGCGGGTCCTTTCTTAGAGGGATGCGGGAGGCACGCTAATGTTGAACGAACCGCATCCTCGACTTGACAACCACGGAGCGGCTTTAACGACCCCCCTCCCCCCACTGCACAGTGAGCGCGTGGTCCCAGGGGGGCCGCCATGCCGAAGAAAAAGGGCCCCAAGAAGCCCAAGGGCACCAAAGTGACGCTGGCGATGGCGCAGAACCGCATGCGCACCACGCTCGACGGCAAGCGCCGGCTGGACCTCAGCAACATGGGCATCGCCTCCTTCCCCAAGAGCATCCTCAAGCTGAGCGATGTGGAGGAGCTGGACCTGAGCCGCAACGCGCTGCGCTCGCTGCCCGACACCGTGGGCCGCTTCCAAAACCTGCGCTGGCTCGACCTGCACAGCAACCGCCTGGAGAGCGTGCCGCCGGCCGTGGGCTCGCTGCTCAAGCTGGTGCACCTCAACCTGTGCAACAACCGCCTCACGGCCGACGGGCTGCCCCGCGAGCTGGCGCAGCTGCGCATCCTCCGCAACCTCAACCTGGGCCTCAATGCGCTGGAGCGGCTGCCCGGCTGGCTCGCGGCACTCAAGGAGCTCACCGAAATCGGCCTCTTCGACAACCGGCTCAAGGGCCTGCCGGACGCCGTCATCAAGCTGCCCAAGATCCAGCGCCTCAACGTCAAGCGCAACCCGTTCCCCGAGCCGACGGACAAGGCCGCCGGCGGCCGCGAGGTGGAGCGCGAGCGAGGCTTGCTGCTGGTGCCGCGCCAGGTCATGTGCGCGCCGTGCCGGGAGCACTGCGAGCACGAGCGGGAAAGGATCAGCCAGCTGAGGGAGGCGGCGCTGGCCGCCGCGTTGGCTGCGGCGGTGCGGAGACCGCGTGTCGGCGCCGTGAGGTCGCAGCAAACCGCGTCCACCGACACGCAGGCCGACACACCGTGGAAGTGAACGGTGGTGGTGCCGGCGTGCCTCTAATCCAGCACGTTGGAGTGCGTACTACCCCTTCACCCCACTCGGATCCCGCTCGGATAAAGGGGTAGCACGGGAGATTGCAGCACAAGCAAGGTGGTTCGTGAGCCTGTCTGTACGACAGACAATTGAGTGCTACCTCCTCGTATTGTGTGGTGGGTTTTCCCCGGGTGCTATGGTTTCCTGGCATTGCAAATCACTCCTGAGTGGAATTGGCCAAACATTCCAATGCAAACCTCTCAATATAAAGGGCCGCCTCTCTCGAGACCCCCTGAATACGCCCTTGTTATTCATTGCAAAAATTGCCCCATTATATTCCCACCGTGCAATCGGCATTACACAGCGAGCGGCGGTGAGACACCACGACCTTCCATTTGGACGTCTCGCAGAGAACGGCGTAGACCTCGCACCGTGTCATTGGAAATGACCTCGGCTAATTCTGGAGTCCCCAAGGCAGACCCCTCCACACTGGTGACACAGCGGGCAGGTGGAGCGATATGAGCACCGACACACAGCGAGCTGATCCCTGCACACGTCGCCCCCTTCTCAGAGAGAGACCCCGACACCTGGCTTTGAGCGCATCCGGCGTGTGCATTTTCAGGATATAAATATTCTAAACATTAATCTTCTAAACGTATTTTCTTATTGTTGTAAACAAATATTCACAAACAATGTGTGCATGGCACGTGTTTCTGTCCCCTCCCCCCCACCTATATAATTATTTCTCGAGTGATTTCCTGTTCACTTGAGCATCTCCTATCTACATCCCTGAGCCAGTGATTGAAGTTCCACATTGCTATGGCAGAGGTGAGAATATTCGTAGGGCAACCACTATTGACTTCCCCACAAGGCGGTACTCATTTTATTGGGCCCAGAGACAGGGATGATGGGCGGCTGAGTCAACCCACAACCGGGATTTGAACTCACGACCTTCTGCTTGCGAGCCGCTTTGTTGTACCGCTGAGCCGGATATAGAATTTTACGCGGAGATATTAACCACAGGTGCTTGCGCGTACCGCCACCCATAATGAGTGACACACTGCTATATTTACACTCACAAACCTGGGTGAATAACGATGTCTGATTTAGCACAATGACGAATAATGAATAAAAAAACTACTTCCCATCAATCAGTGTGTTGAGACTTTGCTTCACACAGACGTGTCAGCGGTGTGCTGCGAGATCATTTTAATTGGACCCGCGTGCGTGCGTGTGTTTGTTTTTAGATCACAGATGCACAGGCTCCAAGCTTTTTAACGCAGAGCACCTGGCACCAATGATAGCCTAACAGATAAGAGCCAAAGAGACAGGGTGAACACGGTTCTTGAGCCGAGCGAGGCCTTAATAACTCGGGGAAAAGAGGCGGGAATTCTGAGGAGTGTGAAAAATTAGGCAGTTAGAAAAGGTTTGTGACATACAGTGTGGTGCTTTAGTGAGTGATTGGGTGAGTGATTGAGTGGGTGAGTGGGTGGGTGAATGTATTGTGGCGACCTGCAGTGTGGAAGTTGAACGCAGTGAGGATGAGTGGAAACGGCCCATTCTTAGTGCGATGGCGTAAATACGACTGCTGGAACAATGCCCATGTGTAATGGATGTTGGAGCTGTTGGCAAAGCCATTTTTACGTAGCCTATGAATGCACCTGATCTCGTGAGATCATGGAAGCTAAGCAAGTTTCACCCTGGACAGGGCTTGGATGGGCAAGCACCGCGCATTAAATATTTGTCTGGGGCTGTTGCCGGGCTACGCTGTCAGCATAGGGCAGTGAGGCATAGTACAGTATCCATGTACTGTACTATGCCTCAACGTCTATGCTCCCAGCTTTCATCAGCCTGCACTGAGCAGTGCGGTGAAGTATGGTCACACAAGCTCCATGACCCGCACAGCGTGGGGAGGCCCTCATCCAGCAGTGGACTGACAAAAGGGCTGCACGTGTACACACACGCGCAGAATAAGTTACGGTTGAAGCTGTCACAAATCAGATCTCTAAAGTAAAACAGCTGGTGCGGTTGAGGCCACCACCTCACCTCACACACCTCACCGTCGCTTCCTTCTTCTTGGCAAATCACGCAACTGTCGCTCAGAACCAACGCACGACCTCCAGTGTGTTCTTGCGAGCAGATGCACGTCCGTGTGAGACTCACCCCTCCACGCTGGTGTTGGGCCTTTGCCCAGAGACGGACTCGCTGCTGTCGGCCAGAGACGGCACCACCGACAGGAACCTTCACGCACGCACAACGCAACAACAAGTGTAACACTTTCTCAAAACGATCATCACACATGTTTACCCAGGAGAGGATCACCGAGGAGTCTCAAGCCCTCCCTGATCACATTGGGGATGTGCAGGATAAGCCAGAATGGCGGGATTGGTCAAATGTGTCAGTGAGATGGGCCAGATGGATAAGGGGTGGGCCGCGTGGGCCGCGTGGGCCGCGTGGGCCGGATAGGCCGGGTGGGCCGGGTGGGCCGCGTGGGGCAGATGGACGGGGCGGCCGGGTGGGCGTACCTCTGGTGGACTTTGTTGCGGATGCCCCTTGGGAAGGCGAGTAGGTAGTTCCGTCCGTCGCTGGAGAAAACCTCGATTGCGATTGGCTGCATTGGAGACACCGCGTCCAAACAAAGAGGCAAGGGGAGAGGCTGCGAGTCAGCAATCAGGGTCACACGTTAGATTATCTTGGTCTCATTTATTTATTTTGTATTCGTAAAAGGGTGTTGTTTGTACTGTCTGGTTTGAAGTGCCTGGCTCGTTTGTCACATCTCATTTGTTAATCAATCCCAAAGCAACATTTTTATGGAACAGAAAATGAAAGAGTGCAAAAAGAAGCATGGGACGATGCAAAATGGGAATTACATGGACAGCAAGAAAAATAAACAAGTCGATTAGAGAACATACGCATGGATGGATAGTTGGTTGGGATTAGGTTCAGTGGGAGGGTAAGCACTCATGCATGGCTGGCAGGTTAGGATTAAGAGGTTAGAGTTAGGAGGGCTAGTACTGGTCACCGGTTTATTCATAGGTTAGGGGTGGGGCTCTAATTCACTCGCTCAATGTGTTCCACCCACAACGCAGCTCACCCCTCCTCCTCTCCCCGTCGCGCCGCGTGTCCCGATCAGTTCACGACGGCGCTCTGCGTGCGGCACCTCGCGCTCTCACCTGCAGGAGGTAGCGCCGCTTGTGCACCTGGCGCTCTCACCTGCAGGAGGTAGCGCCGCTTGTGCACCTCGCGCTCTCACCTGCAGGAGGTAGCGCCGCTTGTGCACCTCGCGCTCTCACCTGCAGGAGGTAGCCCCGCTTGTGCACCTCGCGCTCTCACCTGCAGGAGGTAGCGCCGCTTGTGCACCTCGCGCTCTCACCTGCAGGAGGTAGCGCCGCTTGTGCACCTCGCGCTCTCACCTGCAGGAGGTAGCCCCGCTTGTGCACCTCGCGCTCTCACCTGCAGGAGGTAGCGCCGCTTGTGCACCTCGCGCTCTCACCTGCAGGAGGTGGCGCCGCTTGTGCACCTGGCGCTCTCACCTGCAGGAGGTAGCCCCGCTTGTGCACCTCGCGCTCTCACCTGCAGGAGGTGGCGCCGCTTGTGCACCTCGCGCTCTCACCTGCAGGAGGTAGCGCCGCTTGTGCACCTCGCGCTCTCACCTGCAGGAGGTAGCCCCGCTTGTGCACCTGGCGCTCTCACCTGCAGGAGGTAGCGCCGCTTGTGCACCTCGCGCACGTCCTCGTAGGCGAACTTGCTGCACGTCCTCTTGAGCTGGCATGGGCCCTGGCGCGAGCCCTTGGGGATGATGGCGTCTTGTTCACTGGCGGAAACAAAAACATCGGGGAAAGCTAAATTGGCAACGTCGAGCGGCAGCAGCAGCAGCAGACGGGGAGGTGCTGTGCTCAGGGTGGGCGAGCACCATGGTAGCCGTGACAAAAACATTTCACTTCGAAATTTCCCTGGGGGGGGCGGGGGGGGGGAGGGGGGGTCCACACATGTCAAGCCTTTTAAAGAGGGCCTGCCGTTAATATAAGTAAAAGTAAAAAATGCCAAAGCATTTTCTCCGGCATATATAAGAAAAAAATACACATTTTTAAGGTGGCGATTCCCCCCCTTTTGGATCAACGACTCTTTGTCCGGAAGGTCTTGAGATGTTTGGCAAACACCATGGGGAGGGGAGGAGAGGGGAGGGGAGGGGAGGAGAGGGGAGGGAAGGAGAAGACGACCGGGGGGGGGGGGGGGGAGAGTATGAAGTGGGGGGAACAAGAGGAGGAAGGAGCAGAAGGACGACGAGACAGGAGGAGAAAGAGGACAGGGTGCAGGGAGGGGGTGGCCGGTACCTGGCGGGCAGGTGGTCGATGTCGCAGATCTCTCGCGTGGCCGTCACCGTGAAGCCGTCGATGACGTAGAAGTGCTCCTTGCCGAAGAGGAGCAGCCCCTCGCTCGTGTCCAGACCTTGTACCCGCGCGCAGCGGTACAGGTGGCAGATCTACAGAGGAGTGAGCGAATGAGAGAGGGGGGAAGGTTACATTTAAAATATAATGAAGCCAACGGGCTTTGGCAGATGGGGCAAATCATTTCAGGAATATTATTCATAATAAAGGTTTTTGGGTTAGATTGCGTTACTATGTGTCGTAACCCTCCACCACCCGACACAGCCAATTAGTAAGGGATTTGTCATGTAAACAAAAGGCCAATAAGTTACTACTACAGCCCACCAGTGTGTTAGAGAGTAAATACACAATATTTACAATTTGAGTACGACGTTTCGCTGGTAATACCATCCAGCATCATCGGGCGATTTGTCAGAATAGTGCAGCAATCCACCTGGTTCCTGTCTTAAATAGAACATGTATCTCAAATGAGAGACATCAATAATTACTATTAAAGATTGAATTACAATTTTATAATTATTGAAAGATAACCGTCCGGGTCCCGCGGACCCCCATGTATGAAAACAAATACATCTCGTTAGACGTCAGTCACTAATGTCAGTCACCGACATCAGCAGCGATCAGCAGATTCAGTCAACAGTCTGCCAAATACAACCTAGAGTTTAACGGGCCGTAAACGTTCGAGTTATTGTTATGAATTTTTTTTTCAAAATATTTGCAACCTCTTATCCAACGGCCGTGTAAGGAGTATCATGGGACCTTTTTGCCAGGATCGAAGTATAAAAATAACAAGAATAGGTTTTATCCTTTCTGTTAAGATGTTCAAACACCAAATAGAAACCTTCTGCAAGGAATCAAGTCTGCGTTAACCACAGGTACTTGTGGTGAACACGCAAACAAACATGCTCTAATAATATACGTGTAAAGAGCGTTTCAAATTCTATCACACTATACAATGAAGTGTTTTGGGAAAGGGCCAAAGCTGCCACCCCCCCTCCACCCCCCCCGTGTCAAGTTTCTCGCTGCCCGCTGTGGCGGCGGCGGCACCTTCTCTCCCTCCTCCAGGAGCCGCAACACCGTCTGATTGTCGGTCTTCTCCTCGCTCTCTCCTCCGACCGCGTCGCCCTGCATCTCGGCGCCGCCCTCGGAGCCCTCCTCCTCGCTGGGGTCCGGAACGGAGCGCGAGCGCCGCAGGGGCGCCTTCACGATGCCTGCGCAGGCAGCACAGCCGTCGAGTTACGTTAGGGACTGTTGCGACCAGACACCGGGCCAGATCTATCCAAACTCCATACCTTCCCCCCCACTCCATCACTCACAATAGACTAGTCGGGAAGTGAAAAAAAAAGTCTTCGGCACAAATTAAACAACCAAGATTCTTCTTCGCCAGGCTAGTAACGCAGCCATTCCACAACAGCTCTGATAGGATTGCAGTGTTGATGAGTTTACTACGGGGTTGAACGTCGAACCAAACCGGCCGTGTTAGCGATTATAATCATTATAATCACCGATGATAATCAGTGTCGTCACCGCTTACACGCGCTGGGGTGTTTTCGCCCGTGCCATCGCGTACATGCATGCGTGCGCGGGCTCGTGGTCATGCAGTGCGTGCATGCGCACCCCTGACGCGTGCGATGGTGTCGTCGCCGCCGCTGCCGCCGTGCTGTTCGCTGTCGGGCGGCGCGCCGTCCACCTCGGCCGCCTCCTCCGGCGCGACGGACTCGAGCGCGCCGCACGCCGAGCGCCGCTTGTAGAACTCCTTGCTGTCGTGGCTCACGGCGCGCCGGTACTTCCCCGGCCGCTGCGGCAGTCGCAGCAATGGCACGCAAGCGGCACGGCAGACGAAGCGCGCGTCAGTCATCGTGGCCTTCGCCGCATTTTGCGTTCGCGCCGTTCCCGTAGCACACGGCGGTCACGAAGCGAGGCGCTGCGATGTTTCACAGACACCGTTTCACAGCAGGGGCCGATGTTGCTCTCTGTAATCCCAACTGTAAAGTTTTTAAATTTCACAAATGTACACTATGATGCCGGTGCACAATGGCCTACTCTCATCAAAGGACGTTACGGGTTCTTTCACGTCCACTGTTAAGCAGACATTGCGTAGTGTTTTACGGTCAACGCACCAGCAGTATGATAATTGTTTATTTACCCTTCTATCTGGCAACAAAACTGACACCTTTTTTTTTACAAGGAGTCATGTTTGCATAGACCACAATACCTGCAGCCATAATGCAAACAAAAGACATAATGTGCACTGTCCTTGAAGTTGATTGGTCTACACCCGAGACAGCTTTCCTTAGAGCCTAGTCTCACATGGGTTGGACCAGATGACGCCAAAAGGCGCCTTGATGTCAGTTTTGTTGCCAGAGAGAAGGGTAAAAAACCAATTATCATATTTTTTACTGGCAAATGAGGTTCCAATGGTGCACCAGCAGTACCGATCACGATTCGAAGCGTGAACCTCCACAACAAGCGGCGGATTACTCAATTGGAAAACATGTAACAATCATCGCTCCCCTACTGGCAGGCTCGTGCCCACTTGCAGGCCTGTGCCGAGCCACCTTGCACCAAACAGGGGACATAACTGCCGCTGGAGGCGCCGCTTAAAACGTTTGAGATGAGGCGCGATGTAAGGCACTCTCTGTGTTGACGATGCATTTAAACTGGCGCAATATGAACGCAACGTATACTTTAACGGTGACATCACGATGGTCACGATGATGATGGTCATGACAATTAACGCGAGCCTCACGTGCTGACTTGCGGCGGCCGGGGACGACGGCTCCCCGTCGGGCGCGTACGGGTAGTGCACGTAGAACATGTCGTTGCGCAGCATCTTCTTACGCGTCCGGCACGGCCCCTCCGTCATGTCCAGCATCCACTTGTCGAGGTGCGAGCCCACGGGGGGCCCCCAGAGCCCCCGCTCGCGTGTCAGCTCCCCCTCCAGCTGGCTGAACTCCTCCGACACGTAGCGCTGCGCATTCTGCTGGCGCTGAACGCGTACACGGGCGGACACGCGGGGGTTAAATCCAGAAAGGGCGACAGTTCCTACAATGACGGTGATGATGACAATAAAATTGACAGAGTGATGTGTTTATTGGATCACGGGGCGCGGGTGGCATTGCTGCACTTGGCCTTCAACTCAGCTCTATGCAGGCAACGTGGGTTGGTGGATCGCACGCACAAGTCCGTGAACATCCCTCCCTACCCATGGGCATCGGGGTCACCATCTCCTTGTCAAGATGTGATGGCAGTCCGGAAAGTGGATTCATATCTCCTTTGCACATGTGGATTTTCTCTGTGTACCCCACTCATTAAACATCCCAATATAAGGCCACAGAACTTGGGCAACACTTTGCCCCGTCTCTGGCTGCCTTCTCGCTTGTCTGTGGTTTTTCCCGCAAATGTGCGCGTTACAAATCAGCCTAATTATTAATTATTGTATTTATCTGAATAATAACAACAACGCTGTTGTCTAGAACAACACCAAGGCTCTGCCCCCGTCTCCCCCTCCCACCCACCCTCCGGCAACAGCGGCGCTCACCTCCACGTGCTGGCGGTGCTGGAAGCTGACGAGGTCACGCACGACCGCCACGTGGGTGAACATCCAGCCCGTGGCGTCCTGCAGAGAGGGCGCCGCGGCGCGGCCGGCGCCGGCCTCCTTGCGGTACTTGCGGCCGCCGGTGAGCACCGAGAGCGCGAAGCCGCTGCTCACGCGGTACAGCTTCGATTGCACGGCCGAGCCCACGGCCGCCTCGCCCCGGCCAATCAGCTTCTTCTCATGGGCTGCAACATCATCATCATTGTTGTCGTCAGTGTCGTGGGGTGGGTGGATGGGTGAGTGGGTGTATGTGTGTTTGGGTGGTTGGTTGGATTGGTGGTTTGTTGGGTGGAATGTTTTTTGGGTGGGTGGGTGGGTGGAGTAACTGAGTGGATGACAGAGTAGTTGCTTCAGTAGCAATATTATCATGATCATTATCAACACCAATATCACCACCATCATCCATCAACCAATACCACCATCACCAACACCATCATCATAACGATTATCACCACATCACCATCACCACCACCACGACGACCACAATGACCACCACCACTGATGAGTGAGGTGGGTGCCTGTGCATGTCTGTGTCCGTGGGCCGCACCAAGGTGTGTCTGCCAGCACTTGGAGGCCGGCTCCTCCAGAATGCTGCGTGCGGCGGTGATGTCGACGCCGCTAGTCTCGCTGTTCGGCAGCGACACGCGAAACCAGTCTTCCACGGCATGGCGCCGGTTCACCATCAGCTCGGCCCACACGCGCCGCACTGCCTTCAGCAACAGCTGCCGCCCTGCCGCACAAGAGCGCAGGACGACAAAGAACCCCCGTGAAGCTCCAGGCTGTTGGGGCAAGTGCCGCGAGAGAGGCGCCCGTTGAGGCCGACACGGCACACGACGGGGTGGGGTGGCAGCCGCCACAACTGGCTGCCTACTCCCCAGTGCTGTTTTGACACTGCCCCAGGTGCTCATTTAAGGCTAAGTCGATCTAGGGCAGTCCCAGGATCGGTGCAAATTATCGTCATCGGTGTTTTGGTGGTCATGAGAAGGAATCGAACTCAGGTCGCTGGGTTCATAGAGCAGCGCGCTAACCACGACGCTACTGCTCCCCGCACACCCACCCGCACGCACGCACGCAACTGGGTAGTTTTCAGAGGGTTCAAGCACTGGTGCCATACCTTCACTCGTGTCTGGGCCGTGACATCGGTCTGACTCGAGCTCAGGAGCCAGGGTCACGTGCCACGTGGTCATACGACCCTCCGCCTCCAGGCCAAACCCGTCCGGGTGGCTGCAACGCAACAGCACAACAACTCAACAACTCGCCCGCAAGTGACTGTCTCTCATTGTCCCAGAAAACACTGCCATCCGTAGAGCTCTCTCATCATCCTCATTACTGGCCAGGTGGCCTCTGAGTTGTTGTTGGGAGGCAACTGCTTTCCAACAACAATAATGTTAGACTTGTAACGTTATTCGTTCGCTCTCTTTGACAACGAATGACTCAAGAGGCACGAGAAACCACGGACATGCAGGAATAAGACAGCCAGGCTGTTAGCCGGTGCAAACAATTGATAAAGCTCTGTGGTCCTCTATATATTAAGATGTTTTGTGCTTACATGTGGGAGGAAACCGGAGTACCAAATAAAACGCCTGCTGGGGGTGAGATTCACCCACTTTGTTGTACTGCCACCACCTGGCCAGTGAGGGTAGGCATCCCGACACTCATGGGAAAGGGAGTTTAAAAATTGTGTGAGACCCATCAACCCCCGCTGGCTCCATAGTGCTGGGACAGGTGTGCACCAACACCACCCGGTGGCATCTTTTACAAGCCTCCTCCACACAACATCAAAGGCAAAGATCACCTATAGAGCATTTTAACAGATGACCACCTAATGAAGCAGAACACCTATTGAGGTCGGAATAGCACACGAGTGGGTAGGTGGCCAGTACCATGCCCAGCCGCCTTTGTCTCTACAATGCTGATATATATCACATTGCAACAGGTACTCATTCAAGACTACGTTTGACCTAGGTTAGGCCCAGGAACCTGTTCAGATATTCATCACTGATGTTGGCTTTAAGCAGGAGTCAACCTTGGGTCGCAGTGTTTATAGCGCTGTGCGGTAACTACTATACGACCGCTCTTCACAAGCACCCACATATACTTGCACACGCACACACACCAAGAACAACATGACCCAGCCAACGCAGCCCTGCCTGCCAGAGGAGCTCACTGATGGGACTGTGTCCTGATCTTTCAAGGATTTGCGTGCTCCACACGCGTGCACACACGCATGCGCACGCAGAGCTCACCTGCCCGCGTAGAGCTGCATGAGGCAGTAGACGAGGCAGCCCAGGAACTCTGGGTCGGGGTTGTGTGCGCCAAAGATAAGCGCGCGCTGCGTGGTGAGCGTGCGCAGCGCGTCCAGCAGGGAGATCTGCTGCGAGACGGTGCGGTGGGGCCGCGACAGCTGGTAGAGCACGCTGCGGTTCAGGCACTGGTAGAGGATGTCCGCCGACAGGCCCGGGGCCTTGCGCTTGGACTGCGCGAGGGGGGAGCAGCCGATTCGGCAGGGAGGAGGAGACACGGTCCAGTTTGTTTGGCTTGTTGTATTGCATAGAGATAATAATGCGCTTAAATGCAACTCAAAGCGCCTTATCACATCTAAAAATAAGGGAACCACCAGTGGCAGCTCTCCCTGTGTGGCACACATTTCTTCGGACTTCATCGCTGCCTGCCGTTTTTTACCGACGGTCTCTCGCAACCTCTCGAGTCAAGAGCCCTCGGTGTAACACAGCCCAACGCGGTCCGCGCGCTCCAATCCCGACCCGTGGACCCGGGGCGGCCAGGGCGCTCACCTGCGTGATGAGCTGCAGCAGGGAGTCGACCACCTGCTTGGAGTCACGGGCGTACATGCCCTGCCACAGCTTGTCCACCAGCCTCTGTGCCACGTACAGCGTGTTGGCGACCAGCGTCGAGTAGCTCCCGCCGGCCGCCAGCGGGATGGATGCATCCTCGCCTGCACGCGACCGCAACAGGTTAGGAAATGGCCAGTAATTTCTTGCTGAAATAATGATCGTGAGCTTGTTTTTGGTATGGCTGCCGTCCTTTCCGCCGGAGCACTTTACACGCGATAAACAAGTCACATCTCATCTCAACACATGTCAAAGGGCACCCCCAGTGGCAGTGGTTCCTGCGTGACGCAAGGTGACTCAGCGCCTGGCCAGCAAGCACTGGGGCGGTGCTCATCTCCTGTTTATAAACCGGAGCCAGTGGGGGAAATTCCACATTCCTATGTTGAATCTATGGTGCATGCATGGCATACCTGTGATCCTGTGGTGAACTGTATGACAAACCATGGCCCTTCTGTGAATCAATGCTGAACGCTGTGGTAAATGTACAAAGTGATGGTAAATTAATCAAATTGTTGGGTACCGATGATAAATCTACGGTGAACCCATGCGCCTGCAAACCACCATCCACACAACACTAGCCACAACCCTAACCATGCCCTAACCCTAACCGACATGGCCAATCAGACCCTAAGCCTGCCACCGCAAACCACACTGGACAAACAATCTCTGCTGTGTGCGGTTGTCTGTGTTTGGAGGTAGTGGCACCGCACCCAGCAACACGTCAGCCGCCAGCAGATGCTCCATGACCCCAACAATGAGGTCAGTCTGGAACTCCTTCTGCTGCGCCTTGGTCGAGCGGTCAGGGGACGCCTGGGTCACGCACACACACACACATTCATGCCGATGTTTACACATCACACCAGCTACTCATTCAAGGCCGAGTGATCTTGGAGAAGGCCCAGGATCGTCAATGTTGTTGGTGATGAGCAGGAATCGAACTCTGGTCGCCAGGTTTGTTACGCACCACGCTAACCGCTACCACTCACAATACGCACAGGCACACATGCAATAGACAACGAGCACACACACACACACGTGTGCCCTCTGACCTCAAGCAACACGTCAAGGGCGAGCGTCTGCTTGGAGGCCGGCAGCAGGCACAGGTTGTCCACCACGATGACGCGCATGAAGTCCAGGACGATCTTGCGAGCCGGGTGGCTCGCCAGCAGGGCCTTTCCGGCCACGCTCACCGACTCCGACTGGCTGCGGTTGAGGCCGCCCCCGTCCGGCCCCACTATCGACTTGTACTCGTCAGCCGGAGAGCCCACGTCCAGGATGTCCTCAAAGTCACTCGACTGCCACCACCACGGAGGAGGAGGGAGGGGCGGGGAGGGTGGAGTACCGCCAGCATCATCAGCAGCATCGGTATCTTGACCGTCATCATCAGTTGTATAATAGTCAAAAGCAGCATTGTCAAAATCATAGTCATCGTCAAGAGCATCACTTTCATTGTCACCATTATAGCATCATTGGCACAATCGTCATCAGCAGTATCCTCAGCAACATCATCATTATGAGTATCACTATAATAACCATCATCATCGTGGTGGCGTTGGTGGTTGTGGTGCTGCCCGAGGGCCTCACCATCTCCGAGACAGGGCGGCTGTGCAGAGGGAAGAGCGTCGCCGCCAGCGCCGAGAGGAAGTCAGGGCTGCTCCACAGCGACGCCATGTCGGCCACGTTGTGGTAGAGGTAGCGGAAGAACTGCAGCAGCGTGACCGGGTACTCCCTGAGCCACGAGCCCTCCTCCTCCGACTGCCATGGCTGCACAGCAATGACAAAGATTCCCCGTATAGCCTTAACAGACTGTTGGGGCAAGTGCTGTTAGTGAGCATCGATGAAGGCCGGCATGGTAGACGAGGGGGTGAGTGGCCAGCACCACCCCCAACTGCCTTCGTCTCCCCAGTGGCGATATTTTTGCACACCACACCAGGTACTCATTTGACGCCAAGTCGACCTAGGGGAGGCACAGGGCCGGTTCAGATATTCGTCACTGGTGTTGGCCGTAAGCGGGAATTGAACTCGGGTTGGTGGGTTCGTAGCGCAGCGCACTAACCATGACACGACAGCTCCCCACGGCTGCACGGCACCATAACACACAAACTCAATCGTTGTGGGAGGGTGGCGCAGTTGGCCCGTGTTACATTCGAGTCTCGGGCGCCATTCTGTGCGGAGTTTATATGTTCTCCAAAAGTGTTCTGTGTGCATTTCCTCCGGTTTCCTTCCATAATACAAAACTTATATGATGTAGCTGGTATTGACCAAACATCCCAATGCTGAAAAATCACCTGCAAATTACTCAATTGGGATGACACAGCAGCAACATTGCCCCCTACTGCTGAAACTTAGCAGGACCCTCCCAAATAAGAGTTTCCAAAGTCAGTGAGGATTTGCTGGGTAAACAGGCAGTACAAACAACAACAACAACGTGTTATTTGTATATGGCGTTATTCATGCAAACTGTGTCTCAAAATGCTTAGAATTCGTGAGGAGGAGCTGTACCTGGTTCAGCATACTGCGCAGCATGGATAGCAGGAGAATAGCAGCCTCAGGGCAGATGCCATTGATGGGCGCGACTGCTGCCAGTCCGGAGGAATCGCTCACGGGGACCCCGAAGATGAACGTCCAGATTGAGTCCAGGTCAAACTAAACCAACAAGACACGTACATGCGCCAACATCATCATCATCGTCACCAACCCAAACTCACCAATAACACACACACACACATGCACCCACATGTGCACAATAAACTCATGCTAACACACAAGGGCACGTACACAGAGACACAATATAACCATCACAATGAAATTCATTCTGAATTTAATCAGGCCAATTTCAAGCTCTGAGAATGAAAATGTCGATTTGACCATCATGCGAAAAGCCGCACTCTCGTACGCAGAGTGGGTGGGAAAGCGTTGCCCTCCACTGTGAGGACCAGAGGGATCTCAGAGGTAGTTATGTGATATTACCTTCCGTGGACCACACTGCACGAGATCTGAGGCAATTCTTCATCTCGTGACTTCCCAAGGTGGGTGGTCACAGATAAAAATATATTTTCAAATAGGGCCCCTATATTAACAATAATGAAAAAAAAACATTTAACATATTTTCTCTGGACAATATCATCGTGCCCCCTTCCCCTTGGATCCGCCAGAGTGCCACACGACACCGGGAGCGTTGTACGGCGGTCAAACCGGGGAAAATCCGCACGAGAAAAACAAAGCCCAGGGGGGGTGGGGTAGCACCTTGAGGTCGCCGGGAAGGCGGGCGATGGGCTGCTGCAGCAGCAGCGCCATGAGCAGGAAGTAGAGCTGTGGCACGGCGGTGTGGCGCGGCAGGAAGGCCTGCAGCACGGCGAAACCCGGCACGTGGCACGCCTCGCGGTTGATCTCGCGCACGCTCGAGCGCCCGCCGCTGCGGCCTACATTGATGCCTGCCGGCCGGCCGGGGAAATGGGCGGGTGGAGGAAAAGCATGGAGAGATGGAGGGGTCACGGCACACGCTGGACAAGAGGCGATCGCAAATCTGTGTGGTGGCTCGCGAAGTCTCTTCATTACCCTCAACAATAGCCCTACATCTCACATCATCCTCTTCACCCACCCCTAACACACACACCCCACCTCCAGCCCGAAGGTGGCTCGGCAGTAAAGCGAGCGACTCGCAATCGGAAAGTTGGGAATTTAATCCTGGTTGGGGGGTTGACTCAGCCCATCATCACTCCAGGATCCATAAAACAGATGCCACTTTGTGGGGAAGTTATCAGTGTTTGCCCAATGGAGAGATCACCCCCGCCAAAGTAATGTGGAAGTTCCAGGGCTGTAAACAGGCGAAGGGCATCAATGACTCAATGCTCACTGGGCAGGAGATCGCCACTTCACCGACTTTTTCTAGCCCCCCCAGCCTTACCATTGCCCCAGCACCGTCCGGACATACCCAGCACGGAACCGATCTTGTTGGTGAGCACAGGCTCAGTGTGGTCGAGCCAGCCGCCCCCCGGGGCACCCTCGCGGAAGCGCGCCAGCACCGAGGGGTGGGACAGCAGCGCGAGCAGCACGCGCATGCTGGCGAGCACCGTGCTGGGGTGCAGGTGGCCCTGCGTGAAGAGCAGCAGCCAGTCGAAGCCCAGCGTCCTGATCACGTCCTCGCACGCCCTGCAGCGCCAACGCCACACGCGCACAAACACAGAGATTCCCCCACGAAACCTTTCAGACTTTTGAGAAAGTGCTGATTGCAAGGACCTATTGAGGCCGGCATGGCACCTAAGGGGGTGGTGTGGCCAGCACCACATCTGGTCGACTTTGTCTCCCCAATGCCGTGGTTTAGGCCTAAACACCGTGCCAGGTACTAATATAAGGATGAGGCAACCAGGGGAAGGTTCAGGACCGGATGTTGGCTGTGAGTGGGAATCAAACTCGACGAGTCTGTCGAGCAGCACGCTCACCACTGTGCTACTCACACGAACAAAGACAAAGATCACCCGTATAACCTTAACAGACTGTTGGGGCAAGTGCTGTTAGCGAGGCTCGCACAGCACACGAGGGGGTGGGTGGCCAGCACCATGCCCGGCCGCCTTCGTCTCCCCAGTGGCGATGTTTACAGATCGCACCAGGTACTCATTTGAGGCTGAGTCGACCTAGCGGAGGTCCAGGACCGGTACAAATAATCGTCACTGGTGTTGGCCGTAAGCGGGAATCAAACTCGGGCTGCCCAGTTCGTAGCGCAGCGCGCTAACCGTGTTAAGGGTTAGGTATCAGTAATTGGTCAGATATGGTGAGTGTTAAGGCGAGGGCTGGCAATGGGATCAAAGGTATGGTGGTTAGGGTTACAGTTGAGGTCGGTTGGCGAAGGGATTTGTGTGAAACTTAGAGCTAGGGCTATGGTAGGGGTTACGGAAATGGTTATGGCTAGGATTTATGGTTGGGATTTGGTTAAGGTTGGAGATAGGCGATAGGGTTAGGTATGGTGATGATGTTAGGGCCTGGGTTATGGGCTAGGGTTAGAGGTAGGTGTGAGGGTTAAAGTAAGGATAAGAGTTGAATCTCGGGTTATGGCTATGCTTAGGGTTAGCACTCGCGTTGGGGCTATGTGTAAAGGTTATAGCCAGGGATATGATTGTCCTGGGGCTGGGAGCCAGGGTTAGGGTTGGAGCCAGGGTTCAGGTTGGAGCCATGCTTAGGGTTGGGAGCCAGGGTTCAGGTTGGAGCCATGCTTAGGGTTGGGAGCCAGGGTTCAGGTTGGAGCCATGCTTAGGGCTGGGAGCCATGCTTCGGGTTGGGAGCCAGGGTTCAAGTTGGAGCCATGCTTAGGGTTGGGAGCCAGGGTTAGGGTTGGAGCCAGGGTTCAGGTTGGAGCCATGCTTAGGGTTGGGAGCCAGGGTTCAGGTTAGAGCCATGCTTAGGGTTGGGAGCCAGGGTTAGGGTTGGAGCCAGGGTTCAGGTTAGAGCCATGCTTCGGGTTGGGAGCCAGGGTTCAAGTTGGAGCCATGCTTAGGGTTGGGAGCCAGGGTTAGGGTTGGAGCCAGGGTTCAGGTTGGAGCCATGCTTAGGGCTGGGAGCCATGCTTCGGGTTGGGAACCAGGGTTCAGGTTGGAGCCATGCTTAGGGTTGGGAGCCAGGGTTTGCCGCGGGCAAGTGCGCTCACGTGAGGCTGACTGCGCTCTTGTCGCGGGCACCGTGCGTCAGCAGCGCGAGGAGCGTCTCCAGCAGCTGGTTCCTGAGCCACACAGTGCGTGCCCCCCCCTGACCCGCCACCTCTTCCTCCCAGCCTGCAAGCGCCGCACACGCCACAACCACGCGCACGTCGTAAGCCACAACCAAACACGCATCACACCACAACCGCACACCACAATCCCACTCCTGTTGATGTCAGCAAAGTCCTGCTGCTGCAGTTACCACAGTTCTATTACTGCTATTAACACAATCCCACTGCCATGGTTGTTACCACAATCCCACTGCTGTTGTTGTTACCAAAGTCCTGCTGTTGTTGCTGCTGCTGCTCGTCCCTGTCGGGGCATAGCGCCTTCTCGCTGAGCAGGTGTGGGGGCAGCGTGGCGGCGAGGAAGTGACCGAAGCGCAGCAGGTCGCCGGGCGAGGGGAAGGCCTGCAGCAGGAGGCGCAGCACGCTGGCCACGGCGCCCACGGAGGCGCGTGACAGCGAAGCGTCGCGCAGCGTCAGCAGCAGCCGCGGAACGAGCCCAAATTCACGCATGAGCCGAGCGTTACGGGTCGCCTCACTGTGGGGGGCAGACGGGGGGGGGTGGGGGGGGAGGGAAGTGAGTGGTCCGAGTGTGAGGGGTAGGGGGAGTATCCTGGTACGTGTCTCTGTGTGGAAGCGAGATCGAGCGACCTTGGCAGGTAACGGTGGGCGCGGATGCACCTTGACCTTTGGGGTTTGGCAAGAGGTGGGCAGTTTAGACGTTGGGCATGGTACAGTACAATGGATGTTGCTGCGTGGCCCTCTGCTGCCCACCATGCATGCCCACAGCATCCTCTAGCACCTGCTCTAAACAGTGGTCGGTGACCACTCGGAACCTGGAGAGTGCTTGGATGGGCGACCACTATCCAGGTTCAACCCCACTTAGCGTCCGGGATCTGATGAGATGGTTACCGTTGCCATGAACTTCGCTCATTGATTCCTCCTGTCATGTTGAAGTCTACCAGACACTGACAATTTTGTCTCATCAACACTCACTCACCACACTGCAGGTCACAGCACTCACCTACTTACTCACTCACTCATCCACTCACTCACCACGCTACAGGTCACAGCACTCATCCACTTACTCTCTCACTCACTCATCCACTCACTCACCACACTGCAGGTCACAACACTCACCCACTTACTCTCTCACTCATCCACTCACTCACCACACTGCAAGTCACAACAAGTCTCTTTCTGCGTCTTCGCTCACACTGCTCCACTTTTGGAATCCCCTCCCATCGCCTTATTCCACAAGATTTTTTAATAATAACCTCGCTCAATGCAAGATACAAGTTAACTCGTATATATTACAACTCTAATATTGCTGTTTGTTGCTGACCATCTGACTTTTTAGGCCTTTTGACATATGATCAGCCATTGAGTTAAAATTAATATATATACCGGGTGATTTAGCCGAAGGCCACACAGATGCTGCATGAATGTAATCTGTTGCTGTGGCTGTTGTTGTTGTTGTGTTCACCTGGACTCAGTAAGCAGCTCCACAAAGTGCTCCAGCAGAGACAGGTGGAGCTCGTAGGGTGCATGGAGCCAGACCTGTGGTGAAACAGCGACGCACATCGCTCGCAAAACAGGACGAACACGGACCCTTCAACTAAAACCAAACTCTCAACGGTCGAGGTCAGGAGGTCATCACTCCAATGGCGTTAGTCCCCTTCCTTCTGCTAGATGCCACAGCTGCTGCAAAGGTGGCACTCCACCTTCAAGGACTACACGGCCCAGTGGTAGCGCGGTCGCTGTTTGTTGCAGAGGTGCGTGGGTCGAATCTGCAGACCACTCTGGTTAATACTGCGGATGTAATAAGTGGAATAATCCGCACCGTATGCTTCACAATCGATGTTAAAGAACCCTTGACGTCATTCACAAGCGTAGAAACCAAATTTGGCAAATTAGAAAACTACCCACAAATTACTCAATTGGAATAATAGGGTTTTCCTCTTTTTTCTGACAACAAAACTGAAACCTTTTTACGAGGAATCATGTCTGCATTACCCACAATACTTGTGGTCAAACAAAAACACTGATAATATATGTTTTGTCCTTGAAACTGTTGGTCCACACCAGAGACGGCTTTCTTTTGAGCCTCGTCTCAATTCGTGCTAGACCAGAGGACGCCAAAAGGCGCACAGCTCAAAGACAATGCACTATCAAAGTAATGAGGGCTCGGGGTAAGCATCTAGATCTGGTGTGGACCAATCAGTTTCAAGGACAATGCATTAATTATCAGTGTGTTTTTTGTTTGCATTTTGACCACAAGTATTGTGGGTAATGCAGACATAATTCCTTGTAAAAAGGTTTCAGTTTTCTTGCCAGAAAAAAGGGGAAAAACCATATTATTATATTTTGGTACTGGCAAAGGAGGTCCAATGATACTCACTTGGAATCATACATTCCAATCATCGCCCCCTCCGACTGGCAGATGAATTATTAGGATGGGGGGGTTTAGGAGGGAGGGAGGGAGGGAGGGGGGGCAGCACCTCGAGGTCGCAAAGCAGGTCCTGGAAGCCAGCGGGGTTGGGGATGAGGCTCGTCTCTCGCCCGCTGTCCAGCGTGCCGACCAGCGAGAAGGTCAGGTGCAGGATGTGGCTGTTGAGCAGCGAGCGCTTCCTCTTGAGCAGCATGGCGAGCAGCTGGTGGCGGCCATGATGACGGTTCGCGGGCAGGGCGGGGGGGAACAGGGAGAGAGCCACTCCTTTGGTAACCAGCGTCGGGCAGCAGTCGGTCGAGGCTTTTGTTGTTGTGGGGGTGTGCTCACCTGGTAGCCGCGAATGCGCTCCATCTCCTTGCAGGCGAGTGGGTTGCTTTTGACGACGCACACCAGGGCCTTGACGGCCGCGTACAGGCCTTCCACGTCCGCCGCCATGGCAACCAGGCCCAGGATGGCCGCTGCGCCGCCCACGTACTGCAAGGTGCTGGCGAGCTGGCGCGGCACAAACGTGCGCACGCCTGCAGCGACCAACGAGCCACAACCACAACCGCCACAATCACCGTGAAGTGGATTACTCACAAAAACCAAAATGACCATTGCAATCACCGTTAATTGGATTATTCACAACAGCCAGCTGAGAACACAGGCATCTTCAACCAATTGTACAGCGATTTCCTGCTCAAACAAACATTGAAATTGCTTTGACTCTAAATATATAAATGGACAAAACAAGAATCTTGGTCCACGTGGCTTAGCGGCGTCCAGACAGGGCACACATTCCCCGCGGACCCCACGGCCCCCGTGGCGTGGCTCACCGAGGTAGCCGAGGAGGGCGGCTCCGATGGTGCGTGCCGGCCCGGTGAGGTGGCACGCTGTGTTGAAGAGCAGCCGAATCGGGGTAGCGTTCTCGTGGGACAGCAGGCCGAGCTGCGGACACGCGGCGTTGTTATTCGAAAAGAGTCGATCAATTTGTCCTGGCGTCATGGTCCAAATTTGCCAAATGAAAAAAAAAGTGAATTACGCAATAGGGATTACACATCACAACATTGCCCTCTAATGTGAAACTACTGCAGACTGTCTGACGCACAGCGCCTTCATGATAGCCTTGCACCATAAGAATGGCGTGAATACCCAATGCATATCATTATTATGATTACAGGTGGCAGTGGGGGTCTGCGTGCGGCAGTGCGGGTGACGGGCGGCAGTGGCGGTGACAGTGGCGGGTGACAGACGGACCTGTTTGGCGATGGCCTTGCTGTCGGCGCGGTTGTAGACCTTGCGGATGCGCGCGACGGTCAGTGAGGACTCGGACAGCGCGTTGAGGCCCAGAGAGACCCTCTCCTCGACCACCAGGGGCCCAAGGCTGCCCTCGGCCTTGGGGTCTTTGGGGTCTGTATGCGTCACCACCAAGCAAGGAGACGTGTGCGTTAATGCGCATGTGTGATCAGGTGTTACAGCAAGGGCTGGAATAACATTTAAAATAAATTATTTGTGATGGTTAATATCTAATTGCAATCTGATTGGTTGTTTCTGTTAGGTCATGACACCTATTTAAGATGCGGAGTCAGGTGCTGCGGTTGTTGCAACTCCCTGGATTCTATCATGACAATGCTTGGCACAGTTTAAGGGAACCATCGCCTATCTAATCGCGACATGCGATTGTGGGAATTGCTCTCCTCCGGTGTGTGAGCTGAAACAATATTAACTGCCGCATTAAGGCTTGCACACCACGTGACAGCTTAAATATGGCCAGATCATTATGTGGTCTCACCCAACATTCAATTATGCATCGTAACATTGGCTGTAAAAACTTCCGTCTTAATTAACACAAGATGTCTGGTGAGAGCCAGGGAATTTCAAAGCTACAATGGCTCCGTTCCTCGGGCTAATTAAAGCGGGCTTCGGAAGCGAAATGACAAAATAACTCATGCTCACTCGAGGCTCCCACGGCCTGGAAACTGCCCACGTAGCTCGAGCCCAGCTCAAATATGGTGGCCACAGCTGCCGGGGTCACGACCTCCTCCAGCAGGTATGTGGGGCCAAGGCGCCACACGAGGTGCGGTGCGCCCAGGAGCCGGGGCCCGGCGTCGCGCTGCGAGGGCACCGTGCCGATGAAGCCAAACACCGACAGGCCGGCCGGCGGGTTTGCCGAGCCACCGGGAAGGAGCGCACGTAGTGAAGCTGCGGGGGCGACACGCACCAAAGGAGCACGGGCATAGAGTACAACGTCGCATGAGAGACCGCGGTGTCATTGTGTGTTCCTAAAGACGACCACAAAGCTGAAGGTCGCCCTGATTAGTTCTGCTGGTGTATAACTATAAAACACTACATGCTGTCTGCTTTACAGTAGACGTTAATATCCCTTGATATAATTCGAAATGAGTAAATGGTATTGTGTGCTGGCGTCTTCGAACATTAGCTGCAATGCAATGCAATCGAGAACACACACAGCAACATCATCGCCCCCTACTGACAGACTCATGCACACTTGCAGGCGGGGTGCTGAAGAATCCACCTTTTGCCGCACAATGACAGACACCACTGGGGGAGCCCCTCAATAACCCAGCAGGCGTGTGTCCGGCGACTGCATAATTAGGGTTGCCAGCAGCGACACACGACTGACTGGTGCCACGCGATGAGATGCTGAGGGAGGTGGGGGGGGGGGCGGCACCTTGGCGGAGCCGGCAGTTTGCCCGTTGAGGTAGAGCGTGGCGGTGCTGTTCTTGAGCACTCCGCGACCCAGGGTGAGCACCAGGTGGTGCCACACGCCCTCCTGCGCCAGCTCGGCCACGCGGAAGCGAGCGGAGCGATGGCAGAATCTCATACGAGGAGCTCTCCTCCGCCGGGTCCTCCACTGGACGGACAAAGACAAGGTACTTGTGTAACCATTCAGGTTAAACCAATTGAGGGCTTAAGAGACCTGGATACCTGGATAGGTCCCGGGTTCAATTCCTGACTGGTGCCTTTCTGTATGGAGTTTGTATGTTCTCCCCCTCTTCTGCATGGGTTTCCTCTGGATTCTCCGATTTCCTCTCATAGCAAAAACAACCGTACAATGCAACCGGTATTGGTCAAATATCCCAACGCCGAAACATCACCTACAAATCACTCAATTGGAATCATGCGCAGCAGCAACCTCGCCCCCCTTTCTCCCTTTTAGAAAACTTGTCAGAACCCTCGAGAAAAAGTTCCTTGAGCCTGGGCGAGCCCCTCCTGGGTAAAAGGAGCGCGGAGAGCATTGGCGGCGAGGAAGGGCGGCAGCGGCGGCCTCACCCAGGCCGTGAGCGGCTCCTCTCGCGTGGACACGACGAGCGAGCGGTCGCGCGCCGACAGCGTCACGGTGAGGCACACGTGCTGCAGCTCCGCGCCGACGCCGCGGCGCACCAGCGTGAGGAGGCGCACCGGGTGGGGAGGCCGGCCCGGCGGGGAGAACCGCTCCACGCAGAACCACGCCGAGAAGGAGAGGCCCGACGCTGGCGGGAAGAGGCGCTCGCCTGCACGTGGGTGTGCACGGGGCAGGGGGAGGGGGGTGGGGTGGGGCGGGATGGCGGGGGTGGCGGGCACAGCGGGCGGAGGAGCGAGTCTGTCACAATGCAGAAACAGTGAGGCATTGTTGCCAGATCGGGAAGTCACTTCAACTCTGGCCACGTATATTTGTCCATTTCAAGCCAGTGTTGACGGTGACAGTGTCGGTCTATTTATTGATTTATGCTGTGGGGAGGGGGTCCCGTCCGGGCTTGCCTGTGCCGATGCCGCTGGTGACGGCACTGTCCCCGACGTTGCCCCCGAGCCCCCCGCTGAGCCCGGCTGAGCGTTCTGTGGCGCCAAGCTGGGCAGGAACGGCAGCTGAGCACACAGGATCCAGGCAGGGAGGGGGCGGAGAGAACAAGAGGGTGGCTGTGAAGTCTCCCGAGTGTGCGCGTCGGAAAAGAACGGTTTGACTTCGTGTCATTACAGTTTCACGTGTTTGTTTGGTTCTTGTAATATCTTTAGTTACAATTTACATCTTCAATTACCTGATTGTATCTCGAATTTACATTGATGATAATTAAAGACTCCTCCAATTAACACAAGGTTTTTGCAGCCACTATTACGAATCATAATTGGGTTAAGCCAAGTAATGATCTGGCCAAATTTACTGGCGGAGCCAGTGGGGGGGTGGGGTGGCACGTGCCCCATCAATGATCCGATTTAAATCCCTAACTTCGATCGGATCATTGGGGTTCATTAGTAATAAATCGGCATTTTGCGACCCCCACTGCCACTGTGTAGCATATTATTGTGCCAGGGACTCTATGAGATGATAGGACAATAGTCTGAGTCCATAATTGGCAATAAGTAACGGCAAAGCAGTTATAAGCGACTCAGAATTGTGCGCAGTTGCGTATACAGTACACGACTTGCCTGAAGACATTCACCTTCAGCGAGCGCGATGCCGATCACACACGGTTCGAATTCGACCCTCGATCGATGGCTACGCCATCGCCACACACACGTCGAATAAAAAGCAAGGGACAAGTCCTTAATTACTAACTCCTATAATTTTTCATTGCTGGAGGGGTTGCCCCCCCACCTGAAAATCCTGGCGCCGGCATTGGCCAAATTTGTGTGGCCAAGACCCTCCACAAGCCGACAGCCAAATAAATGACATCTGTCATGCGTACAAGCGTTTAACGTGCCAATCGTTATTGGTGAGCCACACCGGTGAGTTGTAGAACAATTCTCACAAATATGGTAGTCATATACGCGACGTTTTGCTTGACAATGCACCAAGCAACTTCAGGACAATCCAGGAAGCCAAAATAAAATCCGGGAAGTGAGAAAACACGTCCTATCTAATCGCTAAAGTTAGCTGTGAGATTTGTTCTTCAACTCAGCAGTGTGAGACAAACCAATGATGATTGGCACGTTAAGCACTCGCGCACGTGATAATTGTACCTTATTCGGCAATGTTTGGTGATTTCACTACAAATATTTAGCGCTGCCGCCGGGCTGTGTCACCGCCGCTCGCTGTTTCTGCCTCCCTGATAACTCACGTACCCGAAGCCTTCGGGGGCCATGTCGAACTCGACGAAGGGCGGCGTGCTGCCGCTTCCGCTGCTGCGCACATCGCGCGGCGTCGTCATGGAGACGAGGCACTTGACGCGCGTCAGCGGCACGGTCACAGAGTCCAGCGGCCGCAGCAGCAGCAGCCCCCGGTGCCAGCGCTGCAACTGCAGCTGCTGCTGCTGCTGCGGAGAT